TTTACTTGAATTTGCTTGCCCTACAATCAGCTGTGTTCCAGAGAAGGCTCAAGCAAGGGAAGGGCAGGGACAGAGTTTGATGAAGAGAAATGAAGTGGAAGAATATGAAACCTCCTTCACCAGTGACAGCACCAAGCTGTTCATGAAATAGCAGTGTTGAAGACAGCTTACTTTTTCTCTAAGAGATTTTGTCCCTGTTTAGATTGAGAGGAGCTTTTGCCTTGGAAGCATACCTGGCCTTGAGCTTGTTAGAAAGGTGGTTTTTAACACGTCTGAGACACCAGTGTGTGATGCCTAATTCTGCTGGTATCCAGGCTGTATAATTTATCAAAATACTGAGGAAACTTACAGAAATGCTGAGAAGCTAGATGCTTGTAGTTAGAGTTCACTGGAAATTCTTCTTGCTTCAAATCTTGATTGAAGTTGGATACCTTACTGTAGATTAAATTTCTGGTTTAGTCCCTCAAGCTTTGAGTCTTTTCACCTATTTCTAAACGATTAGAAACATATTTGTGGTCTGGTATTTTTGGATCACTAGAGGCCTGTCTAAGAAAGAGTTAGTTAATAGCTTAAGTGCTGCCTTGTAAGTGAGACTGGTCTATGCATGCAAATCATTATCTCACATAAGGTGATGGGCTTTTGCTCTGGCTAGTTATGGCTAAAGCCTTTAGGGAAAATTTTAATGGTTATTAATGTGATCTTGTAGCTGCATAGATAAAAGCTTGTTCTGTTAAAGTGCTGCTGATCCTACAAGTGTAGTTTCGGAATTCCCTGTATTCTGGAAGAAGGTACAGAAGTTGGCTCACAATTTGAAAGCAGATTTGTAATTCATCCTATGCTTATTACAATGCAGAGACCAGGATGCACCTGTAGAAGTTTACTGTCACTCCTGTGTTATGTTACAGTATAGCTAAACCAAGTGAACTGTACTGAAAGAAAGTAAAGCATGGGGTCAAGAGGAGGGAAGATGACACAGTAATGGCATCTAGTCCACATCTTTACATATGAGGAACTTCCAAACACTGTTACACTGTTGTCCTATAGCCCTATGGAAGGAACTGGGAGTTGCATACGCTGAAGTGCCACTCCTGAGTTTCTAGGAATTTTCATTTCTTACATTTTAGTTATAATTTTTGTGCCATTTTAGTTTGAGGGTGACTTTATAGGGTTGTGGGGTTTTTGTGTAGACTAATAGTCTGTGTGGTGCTTTATCTCTACCTATCAAAGCATGTTGACAGCAGATAGTGTGTAATACCTAGTACGTCATCTTGTCTCACAGTTAAGTTTGTGATAGCAAGAACTTTGAAGACAAATTCTGTCCTCTACCTGTGCCTCAAGCCTATCTGTTGCGAGAATAAGTCTTTTTAAAATAGCTTTCTGGAAAAATGAATATTGGTATTTTGCAGGAAATTAACATTTTTCCAAAACTGGTAAATTGTTTTGAAGGAGGGCACACTTCTTGAATACCTTTTTTTTTCTTGTTTTCCTGAAATGGCTATCTGTTTTAATAACTTGGACTTAACAAGTATTTTCTATTACTTCTCTAGTTAACTAGCTGAAAAACATTTTTTTTTTTTCTTAGCCAGAAGAGGTTGTTATAAGAACTTAGGTAAGTTATTGAGTATACTGCATCATAGCTACTGGGTTGGTTTGGTTTAGTTTTGTTTTTTTATAAATAAAATAAAATTTTGGATTACAGCTTATAGTTTCTCTTCAGTTGTAAGCTGTTAATATGCCTCACTTTAAATACTTGGAATTAAAGATGCTTTTAAAATACTTTTCAGTAATGTTGATTCTAAGATTTGTGGGAAATATTAAAGTGCAGTTAGGTCATATTTTTAAGATGGCCTATGCTTTCTTGAAGAAAGCTAGATAGAGTAAAAAGCTGGCTGCTGTTTGCTATTTAGCAAACTTCCTCTTCAGGGTTGTGGTGTGTCCGTGTACCCTTTACTACGTGCTGGTAACAAAAAACGGAACCGCACCCCATTGTAAGACTCTAAATTCACTCCTTTGGAGTTGATGGATTTTCTCCCCATGTTGATCTTGTCAATTTAAGCAGCTGGTTGCTGGAATGTACATGATGGACCTCCCAGTTCCCTTGACCAGATCAGGAAGGATTATCTTTTAGCTAAGGAGAGAAGGTTAATAGGCAGTCTTGGCTTCTGAATGAATCAATGAGGTGCTTGAAAACTCTGTTTGTGTTAAATTTATCAGAACACTTAACACTGCAAGTTAAGTTTGTGTTTAACAAGCCTCTTGTGTATGACTGAAAAGGGAAACCATTGATTACAAAACTTCAAATATTAGTGAAATGCATCAAAGAGTGAAAGTGGGAAGATGGCAAGTGTGATACCCAATATGGCAATAAGCTATTCCACCCTCCACCATCCCCCAAATCAGTGAAGTTTCAACGTAGTGGTACATTGTTAGTGTGTCTATAGCATCAGTTCTTGCTCTGTCATTTACTCCCTACATGTTTGTGAGGTTTCAGTTACGCTTTGCCAGGAACTTTATGGTCTTGTACGTGTGATGCAGCCCAAGTGTTCAAATAGATCCCTTCCACCTCAGTACAACTTAGGTGTGTGCTTATATGAATTCAAACCTAAATTACTAAGTATTGATTATTGCTATATTGTAGTTGTTGATGATATGCCCAGTGGAATATTAAATGCACACCTCTACTAAAACAGCAGAAGAAGGGAGGTCATCATGCAAAACAAAGGGCTTCTCTGCAGCCTTAGTACCATAGATCCTTGTCTGTGTATGTCTGAATACAAGGCAGCAGCAGTAGCAATCTCCCTGTCCTGAACTTACCACAAAGACAGATGACCATAACTAGGTGTCTACTTTCAGGCTATAGATCTTCTATCCTTGGCTCTTTTTACTATTAGTGCTACATGTTGTTGTAAGCCATAGCTTCAGCTTTGATTGTGAATATGACCTTTTCCTCATTCTTTTCTATTCCCTGCTCTTCAGCTCACAAAACTAAGGAAGGTGCTTTTAAGTAGAAGGCTGTCTGTGTGCCAGGCAGTTACTGGAAGTCATTTTGTATTTTGATCCTACCCTTTTTCAGCAGCTCTTTTAAGACAGCTCTTAAACTTTTGCCTGCTGCCAGAAAGTTTTTTGGAAATAGTATACCTGTAGCTGGCACTACAGCCCAAAAGGCACATGTAGCTTGGTAGTACAAAAGTAGTACAAACATAAATTGAGGTTATAGTAACTCTGAAAGATGAGGGTGTCACTGGAGAGCATTTTCATATTGCTTACAATCTGTGGCTCAAAGAAAAAGGAAAACTTTGTCTTAATGCCATGACAGACAATGCGAAGCATACTAACCTCCCCTGTGCTTCATGCTGTGTGCTGTTCGTAAAACTGAAAAACCTGCAGGGCTTTTGCTTGCCAGAGTTTAGGACTGGGAAGTATGCTGTACAGAAAAGAGCAAGAACTGGCTCAAGCAATACCAGAGTGCATAAAACTCTGTTCTGTATGATGTGGAATGCTTGCTTCAGACTTTGTTAAATGCAGACTTAACTTGCCATTACATGTGAATTGTATTTGGTAATAACCTCAGGATGTTGCTGCTAAGGACTCATCTTGCCCTTATCCATTTTCTGTGTCCATGAAGGAGAGCTGAACTTTAGGAAACCAGGAAGACATTTTATTCCTGTGCATAGAATCTTTTCTCTTTAAGAGAGTTCTTTGAAGTCTTCAATCAGGAAGTTCTTAACACATAACTTCTCAAAATATTTTTGTAGAAATTGATTAGTTATGTAAATGTTTCTTTGTACACTGGCTTGGCACTATCCAGTGAAAATGCAAACAAAAATATTACCTATACCATATAGATGCAATGGAAGAAAAAGACTGAGTGATGTGACAGCAAAGCCAACACAACTCTAAGCTTTTTAAACTGTGGTCAAAAAAGAGCTTTGATTTGTTCATAAATACAAGAAAGAGTTCAGTACAATTATAAACTCCAGTTTTGTTTATAAAGCTGTTCTGGTTTTTATAAAATCTTGTTCTGAAAGATCATGGGTTATACTTGTTAGTTGTTTCCCATTTGTAAAGTACACAACTCTGGTCTCCGATCCTACCCCTCATCTGTCAGATCAACTTTTTACATTAATTGTCTTTGTCTTAATCTTTCTCTATAGAAAGAATTACTCCAAGTGAGCTGAAAACATGATCTTAAATTTACTTTTAAGGAGATGAAGAGAGTTGGTTAAGGAAAATGTGATTCACCATAGAAACAGCTCAGCCAATAGTGTATGTGCAGTAAATTAACCATTTTCTGGTACTTTCATATTTGGTATGAAACATAGCAACAAGATGGTAGCTTGACAACAATAGCAGCTGCACATATTTTTCTTCCTTTTTTGAAAGAATGTTCTTGTGGAAAAAATAGATTCCCTGGAAAGTAATTTATATATATTACAAGTTTCATCACAAAAATTCTGTGGGTGGGTACAATAGGCTAGAAATTAAATTAGTGATTTGTATAATAAATTATGGTTTTGATTTGATATGACACTCTAGTCTCTTAGAAGTGACATAGCTACAGGCAGTAGAATAATTTCTTCCCCTTGTGAAGATAAATGTCGTATCAGACCAAACCAGCTTATGTTATACAGCTTCCCTTTTTTTTACCATATGAAAAGATTCATGAGACTGTTCATTAAATAATAGCACAACCCAATTAAAAGGGTACTTTGGCCAAAATGTCTTGAAGATGTTTTCTAATATCAGACATGTAGATAATTTATATAGGTTACTGCCATAAGAGGCCTGATCCGAATAAAGGAATTTTCCTTTATGCAGCAAGTGGCATGATTGTGGCCACACTGAGCTAGAAGGTGCTTTTCTTATCTCAATTAGGCTGAAACCCTCAAATGCAAATGAAGTATGATGATATAGAGGAACCTAGTATCTTGACTTCCTTTCTTGGCTCTTCTTACACAACTTGATTGTGCTCATACCGTTGTTTTTTCATGTTTTGGCAGAGAGAAGGAGCAAGAAAGGGAAGAACAGTTAATGGAAGACAAGAAAAGGAAGAAAGAGGATAAGAAAAAGAAGGAATCTGCTCAGAAGGTAGGTTTTGATATTTGAATTCTTTTATCCAGCTGGAATATAAATAGTATTGGGGGTGGTAAGATGTTAAATTGTTTGTATTTGAGCTTAAAAACTTGATTGTTTAGAGTGGTGCTTCATTAAAGACTATTTTTTACATCATTTTTCTGGAACTTAAGTGTTTAACTTGAACGTTTCTTCTCCTTAGTGTGTCATATGAAGTAAAAAGTTTTTTAATATAAAGTATTGAGTATGAGCTCTCTTGACCTATGCAACTCCTGCTGTTTTTAGGTGTTTGGGGATGGAAATGCTGCCGGGCTTTTGCAATCCTTGCAGTAAAATGGACTAAGTATCTTCTAGAGCAAAAAGATAGCTTTTTTTTTTTTTCACAAGTCTATATGAAATACTTACTACTGAGGGTTCCCTTTTTGCTAAGTATCACTTAGGCTTTACGTTTTCTGTAGCTAGTAGCACTTTTACTGAAGTGTATCAGTTCGAGTCTGAGCCATGGAGAATCTCTAAGTCACTGAAAAATGTTTTTGCTCAGAAAATGGTTTTGAACACTTGGTGTATTAGAAGCTCTCTATTTCACTGAAAATCTAGTAGACTGTTCTAGGAGTTAACTGGACATAGGAACTTGAGTCTCTTGCAGCTTTATCCATGCTTTTTACTGGTAAAATCCTTTCTGTCTGGTTCTGGACTTCCCAGTACAAAACAGATGTAACCATCCTGAGCAGGTCAAGCGAAAGGCCCCTAAGATGACTAAGGGACTGGAGTATCTAACAAATGAGGAGAGGCTGAGAGCTAGGACTGTTCAGACTGGAAAAGAGAAGGCTTAGGGTGATCTTACTAATCACTGTGTATAAATACCTTGTGGGAGGGAGTAAAGATGATGGAGGCAGGCTCTTCTCAGTGGTGGCCAGTGACAAGGCACAAGGCATTGTGCATGAATTGAAATACAGGAAATTCCACTTAATTATAAAAAGACATTTTTTGTGTGTGTGCGTGTATGTGACTGGGCAACCACTAGAACAGGTTTCCCAGAGAGGTTATGGTGCCTCCATCTTTGGAGATGCTCAAAAATGAGTTGGATGTGGCCCTGTGCAATCTGGTTTTGATGACTTTGCTTTGAGTTGGGGAGACTCCTGGGGGTGGATGGAGAACAGGGGTGGGAACTGTGGGCTAGATCTCCAGAGGCTGTCCCTTCCAACCTCAATGATTATGTGAAACTGAGAGCAGAAGGCTTTACTTTCTTTCAGTAGTCTCTGTTTTTCAGTTGCTTGAGTAACAACAGATCCTACAAAAGATCAGACATTACTCTGTGTTAGGTCCTGTAGTTTTCTCCTGAGAATAGCCAGCATCGTTTTCAGTTAAATTTTGGCTACTCCAGGGTCTTTCTAAATCTGGATTTTTCACCAGTTTGAGTCTGTTAGTTTAAATTAGGTGTGGATAAGTTGGTGTATTTCTGTTGGTTTTATCCAGCTATTGTGTTGATACATCCCCAGTAATACTGCAAAAGAGCAGTAGCTACAGAATAAGGTTTCTTCAGTGTCTTTTTGCCTCAGTGTTGCTTCTGTTTAATGTTCAGCACAAAAGGTATATGTAAGAACTAAAAGGAGCAGACCCTGGTTAATAAAGACTAGTGACTTGAGGATTATATGCTGATACTCAACGATACAAGAGAAACTTGAAAAGGTTGATAACAGTGCTGTGAGTGTTTGCTGAGGAATTGGTGCTTTGAATACAAAGGAGATTTGCCAGCTTTCCTGTGTGGTCCCTCACCTACTGAGTTATTCAGTGTGATTGAATGTTATGATATTTTGCCAAAATCTTGGGATGGGTAAACATTAAATAAGTTAATCTCCTAGAGACCAACCTTAACAGTAATACATGGAGATATCTAGGAATAGCAAAGCAGGCAACCAAATGGACAGAACTTATATGTGTCTGTTCTTAGTGACTGTGGTGGTGTTCACCAAATAAGCAGTAATGATTTGGGGGTGCCTTTTTCAGACAGAGTTTATATAACATGGAACAATTGTTTCTGCCTGGATCTTCTGAAACATAAAAAAATTTAAAAATCACTTCAACAGAGGTTATGCAAGCAAATTCGCAGACTAAATTCCTGTGGTTGGTGTCCCAGGGGCTGTTTGGTAGCTTGTCAGAAGGCTGAGTTTGACTCCACCTTCACTATAGCTGCTCCTGCCCTGCCAGTGCTTATAGATTGCCTGCAGAGATGACAGCTGTAAATCTGAGACAGTGTCACATTTTCTCAGCTTTTGTTTTCTAGACCAGAAAAAAAATTAAAAAAAATCACAAAACCAGATCATTTTGACTAGGGGAGAGATGCAGTATAGGCAGAAATAATTGTTTTTGTTTGTTTCTCTAAAGCAAACTGTGGTTATTATGTAGAAATCTTTAAAGATTTGGTAAAAAGGGGGTTCTTCCAAGTAGACAAGTTACTCATTTACTGAACATGTTTACTGTTGACCAGAGTAAACCAATCAGCATTACCAGATTGGATTCATTAATAATTTTTTTCCCCCTCTTTTCCTTTAGTAGTGCAGCATGAGAGTCACATAAGTGTTTAACAGAATTTTTAACTGTGTTACAGAAGAAGATGTAATTTGACGCATAGGGGATTTTTCGTAAGTGAAGTGAAAATTGATGTCTGGCTTGGTACAGACACAGTTTTGGTACAGGTGCATTTTTAGTGTCTTGGAGACTTTTGGATTACGTAATTCTGTGAAATTGCGATGCTTAAGATCTTGTATTATAGTGAATGTTCCACTTCCCATATTGCAGTGTTCATCTTTGCAAAGTAAATGATGCCATAGCAATTTAGTGCAGTTTGTCTTTTTATTCTTTACCATACAAAGGAGTTCTGGCTTGGTTGGTTTAAACAATAAACTGCTTTTTACTTGTGCTTTCATTATTCTATACTGTCACTGTGTGCTTTCCAGAATTATGGGCTAGTTCAGCAATTTCTTTTAAGAATAGGTGTCGTAGAACCTGACACATGATGATCTTTAGGGTTTTTCCGTTATTGTGTAGTGGAACTCATGATCGACAGGTTCAAAACATGCTACAATACACATGATTCCAGAGAATATATCAGTGGTATGTTTGTTTCTACTGTAGTTTGAAATCTGCTACGCTGAAAGAATGTAGAAGTACAGCAAAACCCCATATTGAGTATGTTGGCCACTGTGATGGCTCACTTTAGTAATCAGATTCTTATTGTGTTCAAGAGATTTTTGAAGTCTGGTGCTTTATAGGTATTACTGGTACTTTTTGTAATTGTGGCAATGAATCCAGTAAGGTTTAGGTTTAGGATTTCTTCTCCTTGGAAGAGATGTCATGGGAAACGTGCAGTGGGAAGATGGCAGGGAGACAGAGTGCTACTCTCACTTGCGGTTACTCCTGTGGGAATTCCGTTGCTAGCCCCAACAGTCTGCTGTAAGGATACTCTGGTAGAAGGAAGTTTTTGTTACACTTTAACTGTAATACTTCACCTCCAAAATCTGAAAGACCGGTAGTGCTATAGCACATGTTTATTTGTGCTTTGGAAGTCCATGTTTGGGATGAGGAGGGGGGTGGAGTGAATACTAAAAATCGTTACAAGTGAAGTAATTACTGTTTCTGCCAGGGACTTCTGCATCAGGCAAATGAATTATAGGAGCTGTAGTATTTTTGAAAACTTCATTTATATGACTAGGAATACTGTTTAGACTTGTAGTTCATCAGCTGATTATTGTCATGCAATAAAAAAATACTGTTCTTGTGCTAAATTAAGGTGATGATTTGGCAAACCCTGTTCAGTGTTTGTTTTGAGGTTCTTAAAACTCTATTTACATTCTTGCTCTTAATTTGCAGGTCACAGATCAAAAAACCAAAGGTAAGAATCTTTGATCCTAAGGAGTATTTTTTGTTGACTTGAGCCAAGACTCAGATCTTGATCAAAACTGTTGGAAAAGGAAGGGGAATTATGAGTCAAGATGAAGTACTGAAGATGTGTATTCAGAAGAAATGAAAGTTGAGGTGATTAAAATGGAGAACCTAAAACTATCTGTGTTGTCAGCATCAAAATACTTGAAGGGGGAATGAGGCTTGTGGATAAAATAGGTTAGCTGAAATACTTAGTTTTCAGTTTTGCAAAGGTTTTAGACAAGTAACTGAAAACTGAAACCACCTATATAAATGGAATGGAAGATGGGGAAAGTACTGTTTATGGTGAGGTAGCAAAATGAGTGAAAATTACTTGGGTTTGGAAACTTAAGAGAAGCTCAGGTACCTAAAAGTCTAACAGATAAGGCAGCACTGATGAGTGAGCATCTTGAAAGTTAAGCTTATTTAGCTGATCTAAAAATATATTTAATCTTGATTTGTGTGTCAGTTTTTTAAAAATTGTGTGGTGAAATTGCCATTATTGACAGAAGAGAACTAAGATAGTAATGTGATTTTACAGCTAACAGTACCTTTTGGGGGGTTTTGGGCAATGAAGCCTATATAGAGAAATCAGAAAACTCTTATCAGAACAAAATGCGGGGAGCAATGCGTTCGTGTTCCCAAAGAGAGACTTGCTTGTTTTGATCTAACATTTGTAAGAAGAAAAGTTTTACTGATTATGTTCACTTTCCCCAGGAGGGGTTTCTGGACATCCTTTTCTTGTATTAATCTTCATTAAAGACTAGAGTAGATGTATTGAGTTTTCCTTGCCTTTAGAGTCTGTCTTAGCAATTACACCTTCTAGGTGCCTGGCTAAGAATTTCTTTTGCTCTCTTTCAAAAAAGCACATGGAGAACGTGAGTCAGGGGTCACAAGTGTAGAGCCTCTTAAGCAAAATTTGTGATGGTGTTAGTTCCTCAAGGATTTGTTTGTGGTTTTCCTCTGCTCCAATGCATAATAACCCTCAGAAGCAGCTTGTCCTTGCTTATAGGGGCACCTGGTGACCAGCTGGTAACTTTAGGCGAGCCCAATACAAACACTGTATGTAGGACTGCCTTTTGGGTGTGAGGGTCAACTGTTGCTGCCTTATTCAAGAGCAGTACAGAGAACTTGGATTTGTTAACTCTGAATCCAAGAGGTTTTTTTCCTCTTTTTGTTTGTTTTGGCAGTGGCTGTGTAGCCTACCTAGTAAGCAGGTGAAAACTTGGGATCTGATTTCAGATCTCCCATAAGGGTGATGCATAATAATTCAAAACCCAGTTGAAGATCAGGGAACAGAGCCGGGGAGGGGGGGCAGGGGGGGGACAGGACCAGTTATATTTGACTGCTCATATTTTAAAATTACTCATTGCCCAAGGTGGTATTCTTTGCCAACTTTACGTTTAGAAGAATTTTGGGGCTTAGAGTGAAATACTTGCTGAGGGCAGAGTTTCATCCTGGGGTACTGAGTTGCACATGGAACCAAGAGGTTTGCTGCTACTGCTTATTGCTGCTGCTTTAATTAAGTTGTTCTTCAATAAGGTTGAAGTTGCACAGTATTTCAGAGAAGAATGAAAGTATGAGAGTCACAGTGAGTTCTTGTAAGTAACACAGGCTTAAGTGGAAAAAATTCTGATTTTCCTTCTTCCTGTTTTTCAGTGCCCGAAGTGACGAAACCAAGTTTAAGCCAACCAGTGGCTGCCAGCCCAATTGGCAACTCTCCATCGCCACCAGTCAATGGTGGCAACAATGCCAAAAGGGTGGCAGTGCCGAACGGACAACCGCCAAGCGCCGCCCGCTACATGCCTCGGGAGGTGCCGCCGCGATTCCGTTGCCAGCAGGACCACAAAGTGTTACTGAAACGTGGGCAGCCCCCTCCGCCATCCTGTATGCTGCTTGGGGGTGGAGCAGGGCCTCCTCCCCCGGCAGCACCAGGAGCAAACCCAAACAACGCACAACCAGTGACAGGAGCACTGCTGCAGAGCGACAGTGGGACTGCAACAGGCAAGTAATAATAATAATAATATTAAATAAACGTGTGTGTGCATGGCAGAAGAGAGATCACTAAAATTGTGCATAAGCATATCATTATATAATAAAACTCCTCAGATTGCTTTTGGAGAGCTTACTTCTGGTTTAGGGTATAGACTTTTCTTTTGCTGTTAGCGGCAGTGAATGCAGTTTTTACTACTAGAGGGAACAAGAAAGTTAATTTTTATTTTTTTTAAATTATGTTTTGGGTGGTTTGAATTGGATGCTGGAATGCTCTTAAGACCACAGCAAGGTAAAACACAATGCACGGATAAACAGCATTTTATGGTTGTCATTGAGTAGTTCTTAACAGCTCTTAAGGTTTCTTGAATTTCCTATTTTGTCACTTTTTTCTCTGATCTGGTAAAACAGACATGTAGATACCAGGTCTGCAAATGGCAGGTGTCTGTCACTTCTCATCTGGATGAAATAAGTGGTCCCTTTGCTCATTACTTTTTTTAGTAGTAATCTTGGTTTTCTCCTTAGAGAAGCCTTTTTATAAAAGTGGTGACTGTCCTGGTTTTGCTGTTCTCTTCACTTTGAATTCCAGAAGATAAATTGATTTTTAAGATTCATTGTTTTATGAGCATGGGAAAATTATGAGTGCTCCTGAATTTTTTAGACCCTTGGGGAATTGCAGTAGCTGTAATATTTCCTTTGTAAGTTATCATAGTAGAACAAACAAAATTCCACTCAAGACATCTGCCTTCCAAAGAAAAACTTAGGTGATCGGAGAAGGCAAGGGTGTTCAAAAAAGAAATAAGTGCCTGAAAGCCAGAAGAAGAAAATAACAATACCACTATGTCTGAGTTTGCCTTTGAAAACCAGGCCAGATTAATGGGATGGGTTTTCTACCACAGTCTTGGAGAGCATAAACCTTTTATAGTTCTCTGTGGTTCAGAAGAAAAAACAGAGGTGGCTTGGAACTCCAGAATCAAGTAAGCTAGATGGGATGGCTGTCTTTATTAAAAAGGATTCTAGGAAAATGAATAATTCTGTTTGTTTTGTGGTTTCAGTACTTCAATTCCTTTGTAGCAAATCCCTGTTTGACAGATTATTTATCTTGTTGTCTTTGATGTTCCCTATTTAAAAGGGGAGGGGGGGTGAATTTCAAACTACAATGGCAAAGTTTTAGCTAATCAGTCTAAAAACAGCTCTCTTGGAGATGGCTGGTTTTGATAAAACACCTAAAAGATGAAGAGGGGGGAGAAAACCCACCCCAAAGTCTTTTGGCTATATATAAAATCCTAGCATTATGTCAGCGTTGGTATACCTTCACAGTGATGGTAGTAGACCAACAAAGGAGGGTGTGGTAGTGAAGCATTCTAAAAGTTTTCAAAACTTCTCAAGAGCAGCATCTTTTTGCTGTTGGGTGTACTATATGAGGACCATTTTGAAGTATTTTAGAGGCTCCTTAAGTTTTATGTAATTAATTTGACACCTAATACTTGTTTTTCTGAGGCTGCATTTTGATCTTTATGAATTCCCATATTTTTACATTTAGTTTAATGGTGCATTAACAACTAAGATGTTCTATGGTTGTGTGTTACTGATTGTGGCAACTTTTTATGCCAGTGATAAGTTGCTTTATCCTGATGCAAGTCAGGAGTGTTGCCAAGAAAGATATGGGTCCTTTAGACCTGCCTCGTCCCATCCAAATTTCTGCACCATAACACAGTTAACTGGGCTGGGGAGCTGATTTGGGATTAAAATTTACCCAGGTTGTTTTTTAAAGCTAATGCCAGTCTGGGTGATTTACCAGTTCAGCTCACTGAGTATTAGTGGGAACATACGTGCTAGCATGTTAGTTAGGTGTGCCAGAGGAGTGGGAATGAGCAGCTGGACAAGAGAAAGGCTGGGGCTGTCACTTAGGGTACTCCATCAAAGTGCTTATGGAACTATGCTGTTGCTCTCTGTCTTGCACATCATTAATTCCATCTGAGATCCTGGCTGTTTACAAACTGGATTTCAGATTGGGCCCAGTTCTGTCAGGCATTTATGCACTGATACTGTGATTAATTCATCCCATGTGAAAACAAAAGCAGGTTCCTAAAGGGAAAAATAATGCAGCTTACCTACTTCTTAGCATTATTATATTTGCCAGATAGCTATAGATGGTGTTGGTGAGGCTTTAATACAAGAAGTCAATACATAATCCTTCTTTACATGGATCTTTTTCTACCAGAACTGAAACTGCTTCTGTAAGATGGCAAAACTCTAGTTCCCTGAAAGATGACACCAAATTTACTATTGTCTCCTAGCAATACGAGGGAGTGGGGTGGAGGGTGGTATATATAATTCTTCCGATACCAATGATATTCAGGACATACAAGACAATTTGGGGGGGAAAAAAAGCTTAAATTTTGTCGGTGAAAGTCTTTCTATAGTTACGATACTGTGGTGGGTTGAGGTTGACCTTGGCTGGGTGCCAGGTGCTCACCAAGCTGCTCCATCACTTCCCTCCTCAGCGGGACAGGGCACAGGGGTGGGGGGCAGTAGAAAATAAGATGGAAAAAACCCTGGTGGGTCAAGATAAAGGCAGTTTAATAAAGCAAAAGCAAAGGCCACGTGAGGAAGCAAAGCAAAACAAAAGATTTATTCTCTACTTCCCATCAGCAGACGATGTCCAGCCACTTCCCAGGAACTAGAGCATCAGTACGCGTAGTGGTTGCTCCGGAAGACAAATGTCGTAATAACAAATGCCTCCCCTTCTCCTTCACTTCCTGGGAAGTGGCTGGACATCACCTGCTGATGGGAAGTAGAGAATAAATCTTTTGTTTTGCTTTGCTTCCTCACATGGCCTTTGGTTTTGCTTTATTAAACTGCCTTTATCTTGACCCACCAGGGTTTTTCCCATCTTATTTTTCCCCACACACACACCCTGTCCTGCTGAGGAGGGGAGTGATGGAGCGGCTTGGTGGGCACCTGGCATCCAGCCAAGGTCAACTCACCACAAATACCCTCTAAGAATCACCACCATCTCTCACAGCAAAACTCTATCTTCATTCAGGACTCCGTTTCAATATTTTCACTTATCTCAGTTCCCTACTTTCATCCTTAAAAGTAGTCATTTGCTAGTAACTTTTTTCATTGTAGTCACATCAGAAACTTGTTTCTCTTAAGCATGTTTGTTATTAAAGAAGAGTCTGTTTTAAGAACCAAGAGCCCTTACCCATTATCTTAAGACAAAACCATAAATTGCCAGTTTTGTTGCCATTGTAAAATGTAGCAAGGGGAGGCTGGTTTTATAGAACAGTCCATTAAATTGTGTCCTAGTATGCCATGCCAGCAAGCATCCCAATCTTGATACTTCTAGAATGTCTTCACAGAAATGAAATGTGAAATGCTCTGTTGAAGTCACCTATGTTAAAGATCATGCTAAGTGCATAGCTGCCTATGCATCATTCGTTTGCAGAATCATCGCTAAGTTCAAAAGACAGCAACTTTGCAGCCTTTTGAACTTGCCGTTGGCTGTCCTCCTTAAGCTATTCCTGTGATCAGTCTAATCAGAAGGTTTTTAAATGGAGGTGGGAGGTGTTACTTAGTGTACTAAAAAGATAGAAAAGGTAGCGAGATTGTAAATATCAGTCAAGGGTCACAATTCCTTGCTATTGTTAAGTTTGCACTTAAGATTAAGGCAACAGAAGGAACGGAATGTGCACGGGAACTGCTTGGTCTTTTGGACCTTGGTGGCTAGGGTTTAATGGATGAAGACAAACTTCTGCTCATCAGTATTCAAAGCTTACAAGAGAGTTCTAACCTTGCTGTGAAGTCTGGATCTTTACTGCTGGCCCTCAGTGAAGGGGAATCTGGAAGGCATTCAGTGGATGTTCATTGGTTAAGCTAATGAACTGAAAGCTTGAGACAGGCACTGAAAGCTGACCTGTTCATCTTCTGTTGAAAAGTATTAGCAACCAGAAATTGTGGTCTTCACTTTTGAATATATAACATAGGAACTTGGTGGGGGAATCTGCTTTCTTAAAGTCATTATGCTCTACTTTTCATGGAAGCTGTCATATGAGCCAGTATTGGTAGTAACTATATATATTCAGGTATGAATACTGATGCAGATGTTACTATGAACTTTATGCTCTGCAAAATAAGTTGAACTGGTTGTGTGGGATAACTGAATAAGTCTAATATGTTAGGGTTCAGGACATGGTTTTGTAGAAGGGAGAGTGTTTAGTCTTCATCACTGGGAATTTGTGCTGAGGGCAATTTAGGGTCCCTTTGTATTAGAAATACGTAGAAAAATGAGTGGAGCCCTATATAGAGAACAACACTGAAGTACTAATGGTCTTAAATTATTTAGAGGATCAGAGGTAATTATATGGATGGCAAGGGAATCTTGTCTGATGTTTTAAACTAATGATGATAAGCTGTCTGCATATATGCAGACATCATGCTGCCAGCATTGACGTAGGCTTCATCCACTGTGGCATAATGTCAATTTGTCTGCTTTAAAACTGTATACAAATACCTTGTCTATGCGAAGTCATGCCACATAGGACATAATAGTTCACCACATATGAAGGAAAGGGGCCCTATTCATTGTCATTCATCCTGCTGACTTCCTTAAAGTGACTCCAAAGCTCATTGAACTTGCAGGTTACCCTGTATAACGTGCTAAGTCAGCAAAAAACTAACCTGTCAAAAAGTGGGTGGTTTTGTCTTCAGTTAATGAGTACAGCTGACTTAGTTAAAGGGCTTACTGTCACAAATGAGAGGTGAGACTTGGGGAGCTTGAAGTAGGTAGAGCTAGTGAGAGAGAGACAAGGAAAAGTGAGATCACTTACTAGCTTCCATCCAGTGGCAGAGAGATCAGCTTAGCTGCTCGCAAAACCACAAACTGTGGTTTCTAGGGTAAATATAGCAGTGACACAAATAACAGAGTAATTACATACTGAATACAGCTTGCAACATTACTACAGAGAAATTGTAATTTGTGTATCTTTGGACTCTTTTGATTTACAGTAACTGTTGGAAATAATTTTATTTGTTTTGCAAAGGGTTGAAAGAAATACCTAGTAGCAAAATCAACTTGAAAAAGATACTTGAAGCTCAAGAATAGACTTCTTCAGCTTCATATATTGATTAGATGCTTTTTGTCTTCAATATTTTATCTTTTGATCTGTAATAAATTGTAATTGATTTGAGTCAGTTGAGTAGCAGACCAACAGCTGACTGCGTGTACACACAGATGCATATGAAAGTGCACACATGCACATTCTTGTTCTATATATAGTATGATTTTAAATGTGTATTTGAAAAGTGTACAACCAGTATCAGTAATGACCATGCAGGTTCATTAACTGGGTTATAATTACTACGTTGAACTTAGAGCTGGACTGTTAGCAGAAGTAGTGAGTCAATGGTGAATTCAGGTCCCCACAAAACGCTTGTGGGGACTTTGTTAAAAGAAGGGGTTTTTGTCAGTATTTTCAATGGTGTTTTCCAGCCTGATGTTCTTCCAAAGCAACTTTGTTACACATTTGAGGGAAGGGTTGTTATTGATGAAAACAGTAATCAGTGGTGTCAAAAATGTGATGTTCAGTGCTTGTAAATAATATTGATTATTAATTACCTTTTTGGGTGTGGTTTGTGGTGTTTTGTTTTGTTTTGCTTTTTTTAGATTCAGCGATTGGAGGTGCTGCTGCTTCAAATTATGCAAATTCCACTTGGGGTCCTGGAGCCTCCTCCAACAGCGGCACCAACGCCAACCCAACTCACATCTGGGACAAGGTGATTGTAGACGGGTCTGACATGGAAGAGTGGCCTTGTATTGCCAGCAAAGATGCTGAGTCTTCTTCCGAAAACACCACCGATAACAACAGTGCCTCGAACCCTGGCTTGGAGAAGAATGCTCTGCCAGGAAGCACCACTAGTAACAAAGGAAAAGGAAGCCAGTGCCAGTCTGGAAGCGCTGGAAACGAATGTAACCTTGGGGCCTGGAAATCTGATCCCAAGGCTAAATCTGTTCAATCTTCCAACCCTGCTGCCGAGAGTAACAATGGACTAGGTAATTGGAGGAACTTGAGTGGACAAGATAGAGTCAGTCCCGGTTCTGGCTTCAGCAACTTTAACCCAAATAGCAACCCATCTGCTTGGCCGGCACTGGTTCAAGAGGGCAATTCTAGGAAAGTGACTTTGGAATCTGATAGTGGAAGCTCTAATGCACAGATTAGCACAGTAGGTCAGACCTCTAGGGAACAGCAGTCAAAGATGGAAAATGCGGGTGTTAACTTTGTCTCTGGCAGAGAACAGGCTCAAATTCATAACACTGATGGACCAAAAAATGGAAACACTAACTCCTTGAACTTAAGTTCACCAAACCCTATGGAGAATAAGGGAATGCCCTTTGAAATGGGCTTGGGGAACCCTTCCAGGAGCACTGACACCCCTTCACAAAGCACTGGAGAAAGAAAGACTGGGAGTGTTGGATCTTGGGGTACAGCTAGGGGGTCTTCTGGAACTGACACAGTCTCTGGACAGAGCAATTCTGGAAACCATGGGAACAATGGAAAGGATAGAGAGGACTCCTGGAAAGGAGCTTCCGTTCAAAAACCTAATGGGTCAAGAAGTGATTCTTGGGATAACAATAACCGGTCTACGGGTGGTGGGTCTTGGAACTTTGGCCCTCAGCATGCAAATGAAAGCAAATGGGGTGAAGGGAACAAATTAACATCTGGGGTCTCTCAGGGAGAATGGAAACAGCTGTCTGGGTCTGATGAACTGAAGATTGGAGAATGGAGTGGTCCAAACCAACCAAATTCTAGCACTGGAGCATGGGACAATCAAAAAGGCCACCCTCTTCCTGAAAACCAAGGCAATTCCCAGGCTCCCTGTTGGGGAAGATCTTCCAGCTCTGCGGGAAGTGAGGTTGGAGGTCAAAGCACTGGAAGCAACCACAAAGCAGGAAGTAGTGACAGTCACAATTCTGGACGCCGATCATATAGGCCTACGCATCCTGATTGCCAGGCAGTCTTGCAGACTTTGCTGAGCAGGACTGATTTGGACCCCCGAGTGCTTTCAAACACCGGCTGGGGCCAAACTCAAATTAAGCAAGATACCGTGTGGGATATTGAAGAGATGCCACGGCCCGAGGGGAAGTCTGATAAAGGAACTGAGGGGTGGGAGAGCTCTGCCACACAGACAAAGAACTCAGGGGGCTGGGGCGATGTACCCAGCCAAAGCAATCAAATCAAGTCTGGATGGGGTGAGCTCTCAAACCCAACGGAGTGGAAGGACCCCAAAAATACTGGAGGATGGAATGACTATAAGAACCCCAATTCTTCTAATTGGGGAGGAGGAAGACCAGAAGAAAAATCATCTTCCTCTTGGAATGACAGCTCTAGTAAGGATCAGGGGTGGGGTGGACGGCAACCTAATCAAGGATGGTCTTCTGGAAAGAACGGTTGGGGAGAGGAAGTTGACCAAACAAAAAACAGCAACTGGGAAAGTACAGGAAACAAGCCAGTGTCTGGTTGGGGTGAAGGTGGGCAGAATGAGATTGGAACTTGGGGTAATGGTGCAAATACAAGCGCTGCTTCAAAGGGTGGATGGGATGATTGTAAAAGAACTTCAACATGGAATGAGACGGGTCGACAGCCCAACTCCTGGAACAAGCAGCAGCAGCAGCACCAGCAGCAACAGCAGGAGACTTCTGGTTCCTGGGGTCCCCCACCCCAAACTCCAAGTAATGGCCGACCTCCAAACCCAAACTGGAACAGCGGACCACAGCCAGCTGCCCCCAAAGAGGAGGAGCCTAGTGGCTGGGAAGAACCTTCTCCACAGTCAATCAGTCGAAAAATGGATATTGATGATGGCACTTCAGCGTGGGGAGATCCTAGCAGTTACAACTACAAGAATGTGAACCTGTGGGACAAGAACTCACAAGGAGGACAGGCCCCACGGGAGCAGAGCCTGCCTACTCCAATGACTAGCAAATCACAAGCATCAGGTACTAGTCTTGTTCCTTTCTTCAGCAATCTCCTATATATGAATGTAACCTTAATGTATAAGAGAGACTCGTGTAGCCTCCAATTCCTAATGGTTTTATTCCAGGAAGAAAACCAATTTCTTACTGGAATATTTGGTTCTGTATTTAAAGTGTCTTTTAAAATTTGAATCAATCAGTCCTCTGCTTGTTGTGCCTTAGTAACTATGATCTGAATACTGGTCAGCTTGCCAGCAAAAGAAAATGTTTGTTAGCTGACAGATCTGCGTGTTCAATATGAGCTCTGAAGAACAGGTTGAATTATAGAATCATAGAATCATTTAGGTTGGAAAAAAACCTTTGAGGTCATGGAGTCCAACCATTAACCTAGCACTGCCAAGTCCACCACTAAACCATCTCCCTAAATGCCACATCTACACATCTTTTAAATACCTCCAGGGATGGTGACTCCACCGCTTCCCTGGGCAGCCTGTTCCAATGCTTGATAACCCTTTCGGTGAAGAAATTTTTCCTAATATCCAATCTAAACCTCCCCTGGCACAACTTTAGGCAGTTTCCTTTTAACCTATTGCTTGTTTCTTGGGAGAAAAGACTGACCACCACCTCTCTACAGCCTCCTTTCTGGTAGCAATAAGGTCTCCCTTCAGCCTCCTTTTCTTCACACTAAATCACATTTTATATATTTAATTATTAGAGAAACAGGGAGAAATTCTTTACTTATTTTTAGTCAAAAACTTTTTGCTCTGAAACACTCAGTTAACACTTGAAATTGAGCGAGTCTGTGGTTGAGGTTTTTAGCTCAATTTGGTTCTGCTGTATGGTAAAGAATACTTAACGAAATATTTTCTTCTTTTAAATAAGGACAAGAAAAAGCTACATAGCCTGCAAGTATATTAAGATGTTATTGTTATGTAATGTCTTCCTGACTCAAACATGCTTTAAAGAATACTATTTTGTTTTAATATGTACTTCAAATATGTCCTTATTCTTTCTTCAGTATATGAAAACCCTGAGTTAGTCTGGTGCTTTTAATTAGTCACAAAAGTTCACCAGATAGGAGGACAGCATTAGATGTGGGGTTCATGTTTAACCTGGGAGAAGAATATTACTCATCATAGCATTCTCTTCCTTTTCATCCCTGGAGGTCAGTGCTTGCTCTAAGTTTGTTGTGAACAATTGTCCATTCTGTTGCACCCTCACTACCGAGAATCTAAAGTCCTCAACATAAAGAATGAAGCAGTAGATTAATGACGTGGTGCTGCACTGCAGTAAATAGTTCGTTGTCTAAATGGTCTGTAATGAAAACTCTTTCTCCTTTGTGCAGTCTGGAGCAAAAGCACTCCGCCTGCTCCAGATAATGGTACGTCCGCCTGGGGTGAGCCAAATGAAACCAGTCCCGGGTGGGGTGAAGTAGATGATACAGGAGCATCGACAACAGGCTGGGGGAATGCACCTTCCAACGCCCCGAATGCCATGAAATCTAGTGAGTATAGGCCAGATACCAAGTTTCTTTGCAATGGTCCTGGAGATCTTTAGCGTTTAGCCTTTTGATGTAGGTCACCCATGGAGGAATGGTTATCTGAGGCGTAGAAGCAATGTTGAATGTCACGTAAGATTTTGATGGATGAGTGATTAAGCACTTACAAATGACTGGAACTTTGTCTTTTAAGGTAATGAAAAATTTCTTAACTAAGCAATTAGTTAAGCTGTGGGCAGCTCTGATTTGTGACGTTTTGAAACATTAGAGCATCTGAGTGAGGAAATCTATCTTTTTCTCAAAATGTGTTTTCTTCTCTGGCTGCCCACTTGTAACTTAGCATAAACTTATCACGTGAGAAATCACTTTTCCTGATCATATCAAAAAAAGGAATGCACAGTACAGACAGATTTCACTGTGGAGGCTGTTACATGGTAGTCTATGCTTTGGTAATACAACTTGCCTTTAAATGTTGGGGTTTTTTATTATTATTGCGTGAGGGTGGAAAATTGTAACTGTTAAGAACTGGACTTTGTGGTTGAACCGAACTCTTGACTTTTTTCTGCATATTACCTGCCTACAGCTGTGTTCTTCATGAATGAGAAATCTGGAAATCTTTTAAAAATTTACTTTGAAGTTAAGATTTTGCTGTATTAAGCGTTTTATTTTTGTGGAAATCATTCCTGCTGATGTAAGCTGTTTGTAGAATTTTTATTTCACTCTTTTTAAGGAGAATACAACAAACAAAAGCAATCACCTGCTGATACAACATAGCAATGCTATAGCCAAAGCCAATAACATTTGGATATGAAGTTTCCAGTAGGAAATACTGATAATATGTGACTGTTACTAAACTTGACTGATGACACATGCTGTAAAACTGTTTCCAGTTACATGTTGCTTTTACAACATGTAATTATTTGGAATGAAATGCTCTATACAGATTGTATGCTGTTGGGTCATTCTCCCCTCTTCCCACCCCAATTAATTAGTTTGGCCATTTATGAAACAGAACTGGGAAAAAAGCATTGCTTCCTTAGTATTAACATTATATCAACCTTTGGTGGATGGCTGTAGTGCTTCCTGTGCCTGCCACACAAACTTGGCACTTTTCAGGATGCTAGACTTTTTTTAGATGGATCTCTTCTTTCATCTGTAAAAGGCCACATAAATATGACTAAAATAAGAGCCTCTGAAATGCTCATCATCCATTGCAAGTTCTATGGATTTGTTAATACTTAAGATAGTCTTTAAATGCTATGCATGGTCACTTGCTCGTCCTAACTGGTGTGCATGTGTGACATAACCAGAGCTGCAGCAATGGGTACTATTTTGTACGTAAGCTGTCCCCAGCTCTAGAGAAGCAAATGTGGGGAGTTTCCCTGTGACGGCTATTTCAGGTTGGGGTGTAGTAGGTCACCAGTGTTAAGAGCTGAGATCTTCATTCTCCTGTGTTCTGTGACTGCTTTCTCAACTCCTTTCTAATTGGCACCCAGAACGAATGAAGAAGAAAGCTACGTTATTCAGTGGAGTAAGGGGAGATATTTAATGGCTTGGATAAGTTGGAAGAAGAAATTGGGACAAAGAGCCTGCAAGGGCATAATTTATGGTTGAAGGTAAGGACAGGAAACAGAGATTAGCAATGATTGTAAAAGAAAACAAGAGTTTAGAGCCAAAGAAAGGAAGCATAGATCATTACCCACCTGTTTAAAAAACATGGATTTACATAGTTTTACTACTATTGCATAGGAATTCTCTGGTAGAAGTAGGAATAAATTCAGTTTTCTGTAACATCGTTATTTTGTCTTTATCTTGAAAGTTTCCTTTGCTTACTATAGCTATTTGCTCCTCCTCACTAAATAAATGCAGAAAATGACACAGGAATCCTACAGACAAGTCATTTTTATACCCCTGTCCAGATTCATGTTCAAGAATCTCAGACGTGAGAGCTGCCAATGCAGAAAAATAATCTGTGGTCATGTAGTTAAAACTAGGATCATAGTACTATATTTAAACACTGTGGCTGGAAATAAATTAATGCTGCAGGGACTACCCCATATATGACATTTCCAGATTAAGTTCTTGACTCTGCAGCCATAATCCTTAAGTGTAACCTTTTCTGTGTAAGTAGCATGATCAAAGGGCCAAGAGGTAAATTTTTGTGCTTGGCCAGTATGTTTCCTAAGCAGCCCTCAATTTTGGTATGCGCATATGCTTTAAAAAGTTACGTTTCCTGTTAAGCATCTGATTAGTTGTTATTTATGATGAATTTTAAGGTAGCTCTTAAACTGCCATGATATGCTGCTGTACTTATTTTTGGCATGGTTGAGGTAGAGTTCCCCTTGATAGACTAATTACAATTCCTGACTTTTTTTGTATTGAGATTTTCTGCTATGGGTATTAATATCCTTATCCCTGATTTCCACACTCAAACCCCAGGCAATTGAAGAATTAGTTATGAAACAGGTGATGATGATGGAAACCTTCTTTTGAAGGATGAATGCTTAGGGAATAAATACACAGAATGAAGAGTTACAGCAGGAAGGAGAACAGTTGGACAGTGGACAAGATGAGGATTTGGGCTCTTGTTGGCTTGTCAGTAGAGGTTAGAATTCTAAGTTGCCTGACAGCTGGTACTAGGGAGTAACAGCAAGAAAAGAAACAACAGGGAAGACTCCTTAGTCTGAACTGATACGATGAGATGGCTGTAGCTTTCTGGTAATGGCATCTCTACTTAAACAGTGCTGCTAATAAGTCTTTTTAGTGATATTAAGAACAGAAATGCAAGTAGAGGGGTTTTTTTTCACATTAAACTACTTTTGGTGTTACATATACCAGAGCACAATGTCAGGTCCTCTCCTTCAGATTCTACTTAGTTCTTATTAATTAATAAGTTCTTTGTTCTTTGTGAAAGAGTTTAGTGCAAGGGAAGTGTTAAGGTTTTGAAAGAAGAGAGGAAATAATCGATACACCACCTGAACCAGTCCTCAGTACCCTTGGTTTTTAAGTGTTCTTGAAGTCTTTCATTTACACTAGAAAATAATAGGTTGCCTTTTAAAGAAATCCAAATGCAGCTGTATCTTGTATAAGAGAAGATGCCCCTGTGGTTATTATATCTTTAATGGTTTGACATTGCTTCAAAATCGTTGCAAAGCATGACATGCTAACATGCCACCGAACCTCTTGGTTTTTGGGATTCATGTTAGAGTGAAGACTGTTTTGGGTTTTTTTCACTCCTTTGGGGTTCTGATGATCTTGGCTAATCTTGCAGTGTCAAGTCACCAGCTACATGGTATTGTAGACTGCTTTTGAGCTTTTTTTCTCCTTTTTCTAAAGGTTCTAAATCTATGCAAGATGGCTGGGGAGAGAGTGATGGGCCAGTGACAGGAACTCGTCATTCCAGCTGGGAAGAGGAGGAGGAGGGAGGAGTCTGGAACACAGCAGGCTCTCAGGGAAGCAGTTCCTCCCACAACTCAACAAGCTGGGGGCAAGGAGGAAAGAAAACACAAATGAAGGTAAAATGCTTGAATGATTCATAACTACTGTGTTGTCTGAAAGCAGTACAACTGGTATGTTAGAGCATTATAATCTTCTAAAAAGGTATTACAGAATTCAACTAGAAAGGTGTCTGTTACAACAGTGTAAAAAATGTGAGGTTTCTGGATTTGTTTTAATGTTATTACACCTGTTGTGACTAATAAATCTGCCAGTAGGTGTCAAATTCTTTTGATATGTAAGCTGTGGAGCCATTGCTAAATGAAACTGAGCAATAAGTATCCCAAGGCTATTGCTCTCCTCTTGTTGACACATCTTTCTGTGTTAGGCTGCTGCTGTTCTCCTTGCATAGCCTGCTGAAGTTTGGATTCCACAGTCCCTTTGGCACATGCACTTCTTACTTCTACTGACTGTTGGATTTAGGGCTGACTTGTGTTTGTTGTTACTGACCTTTGGCTTCTAAGAGGAGCAGGAGCTTGGCTATAGTCCTGAGTAAATTGCTTTCTAAGGCTTGTTTGCATTAAAGTTCTCTAGTACAGTAACACTTGGTACTGTATTAATATTAGAAGGACTATGTTTTGTCTAATTCTAATCAAACAGGTAGGGCAAACTCAAAAGGCAAGTGCAGAGCAGCTTCACAGGATCTGGAAATACTGTTGTGACATGGTGTGGAGTCTTACAATTCTTATTTAGCTAGCAGAAATGATTCATGTGAACTTTTTTCTCCATTATAGCTTTATTATTTTAACCACCAAAGCAACTGTCCAAAAAAATTTTCTTTTCTATTGAACTGTGTTCAGTTTTGGTTTTGATCACCTGTAAATTACAGTAAGGCCAAATTGAGAGCCGGGTCTGCACAGTGCCCGTGTAAGACAAACCACACTAAAGGGAAGAAAGCCAAGGAAGAAATCTACCTCTGTATGTGGTAGATTAAAGAATGCATTAAACTGTAACAGAGGGAAAAATGAATAACATTCACAAAGCTTTCTAGAATCAAACTGAAGGTGTGATAAACAGCTACACAGTAGGTGTTCATCCAGTTTGGTGTACCTAACAATGAACAATTCTGTGAGAGAGAAAAGAAGAAAATAGTATCTGGTAAATGTTTCTAATCATGCAAAAACTTAAAGTAATTTGTTCAGGAGATTAATACCAGGATTTTCATTCAACACTTGTGCATCTCAAGGATAAAACAGAATTTAAGAAGTTGCTTAAAAATACTTTTTTTCTCTTCAGTGCGCATTAAAAGGAGGAAATAGTGATTCGTGGATGAACCCTTTATCCAAACAGTTTTCAAATATGGGCTTGCTAGTAAGTAAATTTTTTTTAATATAAAATCCAACTTTGTAAAAAAGCAGTAAGCTTTAAATAAGTCAAAAGATCAGCTGTTTCACAGTGTGTAACTACTTACTTATCTGCATTTACTATGCTGGTATGTTGATTATAATACCGGTAATAGCTGAGTATTCAGCACTTCCTTGGTAGTCAGAATGGTTTCTCAGAAAAACCCAAAGTCTGCTTTGACTTTTCAGAGTTACTTTGACAGCTATTGTTCTGAGATCGCAACTTCCTTGCAAGTAATAGGATTTGGGGGTTTTGTTTTTGGTTTGGTTTTTTTGTTTGTTTTTCATAACTTGCTGTTTAGAGCACTCAAGGTAGAGGCCTCAGCTCCTGGCTGTAGCATCAGACATCTGTGATTAGTCCGAGGCTATTCATTCTGAATCTCAGCCACCTATCAGAAAAGGAGATCTACAGCCCTGTGTCTGTTTTGGCTATTTATATTTTAAATACTGCGCAGCAGGGTCTTTTTAGAACAAAAAGGGATCATTATTAATCAGTACATAAAGATTGATTGGTAAAGTGAATAAATAAATGGCACATAATGGAGAGAAAAGATAGATCTGCGGGAAGTAGCTTAAAAATAGTTACATAGAAAATGTTTTATAAGAACTTCTGATATGCTAATTTGTAAAATATTTTACAGACTATTTCGCCAACTGTTATCCTGTGAAGCAGGAACAGTATATGATGCAGCCTAGCAAAAGATAATAATGCAGAGGTTCTGTGAGAAGCTCAGGGCTGCACAAATTCACTGACATGACTAGGATTAGTTTGTAATGTCTGTTGGCTCACAAGCTCAAACTCAGTCTGCGAGACTGTAGATGCTTCTGAAAGCTATTGGAACACCCTGTCCCAGACTGCCAACTAAAGAATAACTTGGCAGCACATTTCAAGATTTGATGACTTGACAGGTCATGAGGATGAGCTATCATTTTGGCCACTATTTTCAGTGTTTCATCTCTTGACCACTGGAACATGAGGACAGAGGTTAACTTCACAGAGCAGCTGTCTGTCCATCTTTCTCTGTCTGTCGTGTGTTTTCATGTGTCTGGTTTCATATGGGTAAACTTGCCACACAGAGCATTAGGGGGTGGAGGTGAGGTGTGTCCAGGGTGGTATCAGGAATCCTTGTGTTTGATTTTAGTTTAAAATAAAACTTTCGTTGGCACAAGCACGTCCTTCCTTCATTCCACCTTTAAACCATCAAGGGCTGCTTTCTAAAACATTCCTCAGCATTTCACAGGAGTCAGAACTGATTTTTTTTCTTTTTCCCCCCCAGAGTCAAACTGAGGACATTCCAGGCAGTAAGATGGACTTGTCTGTAGGTGCGTATAATTTAATTTAAATGCATTTGAAATACGAGATCATGTGTAGTATTTTTATGTGGATGACATGCTGTGCTTTGGAAAGGTTTGATCTTTACTTTTAGGACTCCTTATAATAGAAGGATAGAGTTATAGCATCCACTATCTTGGCTGTAGGCTTTGAATAGTTACACAGCTGATGCTGGTATGCAAGATTGGGATGTATACCTGTACAGAACAGAGCTATAACTTGTGGAAGGGAGATCCTGTAAGACTGTTTTGATCCATGTAGTTTGTATTCATTGTTAGCATTTCAAGAAAGTGAAGATCTCTTTTCATTTGGTGGAAGAGGAAGACTTTTTTAGCTCTTGGTAGTAGGACATCCCAATTACCACAGCTCCCTGGAGGTGATGTGAGGGAAGAGAATATCTTCTAACATTTATTTCTTCAATTGCTTGCCTCAGGCTATTACAAGTTACTGCACAGTAGAACTAGATTTTTCACTCTTGATAGCCTCACCACAAATACTATACAACTTAAGTGGAATGTGCTGTGTGGAAAACACTATCCTAAATGAGAGTTGGAATTGACCACTTGGATTAATCCCATTTAATCGCATTTGAATTTGTCATTACTTTCTTCTTTGGCAAACTAAGTAGTGAACTCTCACAGAATTTTTTTTGATCTTGAAATCAGTTTTAGTTTTGCATTCTGTTCTTCTCCAGATTGTCTCTGTATATTCACTATCATGGTACTGCAATAGAAATACCACAGGTTTCTGAAATCTGCCATTTGAGATGGTTTCTCTACAAGATAACTAAGGTGTATATTAAAAAAGGGATGATCCAAATCTGCTCTTCCGATTGTTTATTTTATTTGTTATCAAGTCTTTGAAGACTTAGTAAGGCTAAAAACTTGTACAGGGTAGTCTTTCGTTCTTATAAAGGGGAAGAGGGTTTCGTTCCTGTTCTAGGGACTACTTCTGTTCAGTTTTTGATTCTTCAAAATCTATGGAAGCAGGAAGATCACCTCATGCCCCTGGCTACAAAGACGGATCTTCTAGTCCACTTTGAGGACATTGCCGCTGTACAAACCCAACAGTAATTTTGGAGAGAGATGTTAATCCTATTTTGATAACTGTCAGGAATGTCAAAGAGGCCTCAGATTCCTCCCAGTTACAATGTCAAAAGGAGAGGTCTGTAATTCTTATTCCAAAGGATGATATGTCAAAGTAGTAGCAGTATTCTCGGCTCTCAGCTAGAACAGTGAATTTCCTGTGTAGATGATTCCTGTGAATTTCCTGGATGCCCTGTGGGCTCCAGAGAAGCGTATGTTTAGTGGTTCTGTGTTTGGAAGGGGTCCCTGTATCAGTGCAAATCAAGTTTTTGTTATGAAAGTGTGGACACAATTGATTCCGAATCTCATGTGATGAGCACTGAGACCCACAGTATGGCTGTTAAGCAGTAACCATTTTACCTGTTTCATGTTTAAAAATGTTCCGGTACCAAGCTGCTTATTTCCAGCTACTTGTGCATAATAGCAAAAGTTTCTACCTCAGCTGAGAGATGGATGCATACAGGCACAAAGTGCTGCTGAGAGGAGAGAAAGGCCTTGGTAAGAAGAGGAGGGATGGCTAGAGGAGATGACTGACTTGGAATCAATGCTTATTCTGCTGGTGGTTCTAAATTTCCTGTGGGAGATTGTCAATCGAATTAATTACTGATGATCCTGTGGTGGTATCTCTGAAGAACCACCGGCAACAGTAGTTCTGTGTCAGATGACAGTCTGTGAGATCTCTAGATCAACTAAAATTAGTGTTTACAAACCAAGTACAGTTAGTTTCAAAATATGTTCTGAAACTCATTGTTGTAAGTTAGAAGAGCATGGGGTCTGTGGTACAAGCTGGTCGTATCCAACATCAAGGATAGAATCTATTTACTGCTGAGGTATTACCTGCCAAAGAAGTTACAGTGTTTGAGATTATCACTGATTGTGTGCTAAGCATTAAATGATCTCACTTTCCAGTGTCATGTGCATCCACAGTTTGGTGCACTGGCTCCTGTCTTTGTGGCAACTTCTGGTTTGTTTCATTGCCAGATTTTCTTTTCTCTCTTTTTTTTTTTTCTTCTTCATCTAAACAGCAAATAGTGACGGTAGGGAAGGATAAAGTAGCAAAAGCTGTTTGTTCAACTCTCAGATAAATACCACCTTTGGGTTTATGTTTTTACATAAGCTGTTTTCCTCAGCCTATATCTACTTCTAAACTTTAAAAGTTGGACTTAGTTCTGAGGTAGGCTTGTTCTTCAACTGGTTTTCAGTCAGAAGTACAACACAGGAGCTTTTCCTAACTGGGTGACTCACAACATGATATTTTCCCAGTTTGTGAATAAATGCGCATTAATCTCAGAGTTAATTCTGTGCTTGGAGACCACACATATCACAGAAAACTTTGGCTTTGGTATGCCCGGTGCACCTTGGCTCTGATCATCATGCATTATAAAATAGGTCCAGTTGTCAGTAAGTAATTCTTACTATGTTGGTCTCGCTCTCCTTGTTTGAAAAATGTGTTGCTTTTATTGCAAGGTGCTGGAATGACACTCTTGTTTACCGACCAAGACAGAAAAGAGATGGATCAATGGCATGGTTGAAGCAGATCTACTTCCTCTTTTTTATTATTTTTCTATCAAATCCGTTCAACGGATACTTTGTTTTACTTTGAAAATAGGATACAACCCTTTTTTCCATTGAATTCTCTCCTCGTATGTAAGTCTTGTGGCATGAAGTTTGCTGGAGTAAGTAGCTTGTCAAATTCGCTTAGAATTTTATCCTTTCCTTCCGTTTGACCACCACCTTTGTCTCTTTTTTGTTTTTTGTTTTTTTTAAATGTATTGGTTAGTTGCAACCTCTGCAGATCACTGAACTCTCAAATCACCTGTAAAGACTGGGAAATTCATTTCCAGTTTCTATTGATTCAAATGCGATTCATGCAGCTGTTTATTGTAAATACGTTACAAAGCCATAACCTGATTTAGCATGCAGGTGCAATACCTCAATATCTAAGCACATTTGCTTGCTCAGTAGGCTTGGGTGATGTAAATTTATGGCAAAGCTATAAAACCAGTATCTTTAAAATGTTTTCATTTTTGTGGTCAAGCAGAAAACATGTTTCAAATGGGGTTTTTTTCCATTTGGGTTACCCCACTGGATATATGTATTTTCACCGCATCGAGCCTCTTATTTGCAAACTTTTATGTAACTTTGCTCAACAGCAGTTTCTGTCCCCTATCTCCCAGTACAGGATCACATTATATAATTTGGTTTGTATAGAATTCAGTTTTTTTTTTCTTTTAAGCTGTGTGCATGTGGTGGGGGAGATCTACTTAATAGGCTTTTTTCCCTTACTAGGGCATGAATGTCATCTTCCAAGCTCTTGTTTCATTTTGCATTTTTCATGGTGTTTCTCACAGCTGTTAATAGTGGGGAAAATCCAAGAACTGATGGAGTGTTTTCCTTTATGAAGATGGTTGGGCTTTTAACCTGTTCTACATTTCTGCATGTAGAGGATTTGGGGCTTCATATTTATTCATGCACAAGTGTTCTTGCCTACTGCAGAGGGTAAAAGTCAAACTTCTCAGATTTTAACGGTCGTCTTGTACTATGTAAGGTAAAGCTAGTCTTCAGCCACCTGCATTATTTATAGCTTTCAGTGGCAAGTGCAAAAGACAGACTCACGTGACTGGTTTCAAGGTTGCATTAGAATTTTCTGTGAATGGGATAAATGAATGCCATCATCTCTCTTAGCAAGGCCTTGTTTATGTTGAAATTTAAGCAGCTGCCTCAGTACTAAGTGGCATGCATATCTGTGCTTGAAACCTTTAAAGGTGCTGCTTAATGCTCTACATGTTCTTTAGCAAGCCTTTTTACAAGGCATCATTCAGTAATGTTTGAGTTGATTGGATCATCAAGATAACTGAAGAAACAAAAGGGTGTTTCTGTGGCTTAGTCATCTTGTGTTGGCATTGACCCAGTTTCATTTCAGATGGTGATGCAACTCTGTCTTGCTTTCGGTTTCTTTTCGAGCAACTAACGGACAGGGCTTCCTGTCTAGAATTAAAGTACACAAGGCTTTTGGTAGTGCATTGCTGGCATTGTGTGTAGTGGTTAGATGTAGGTATTGACAGCATTGAGATGTGCGTGACATTTGATGTGACTGCTTTTGCAGAGCCAGTTCTAGCTTTTTAGGATATGTTAAAAAGGGATGAGCTCATCCAGGTCAGTATGACTCCAGTTACAAGCCAAGATACGTAGGTGACTTGTCAAGTATTTTTGTGATAAATGATGTTGAAGGCACCTGAGAGGATGAAGCTGGATCAACTTCGAAAGTTGCGCCAGCAAGAAAAACCCATGTAATTAGTGGTTGATTTCATGGGTTCTTGGCAATAACATACCTATGAATATTAATAGTTTGTGATTGGACATTAGGAAGAGATGCTGGCTTTGAGAAGCTTTTTTGAGGAACAGGTAAGTGTTTTGAAGGTATTGGAGAGATCAGCTGTCTGCTCTGTTTGATAAAGATTTAGTGTTTTGTCAGTGGTAGGGTAGGATATCTGTCACCAGCTTCCTTTGGAAGAGTCATAGATTTTAGTTAACTGTGGTGACAGGTTTTTTAAACTGTTCTTGGTAAGGCCATCTGTCTGCTAAATTAAATTATTTTAAAACTAAAAATACCATTAAAGCTCACTTCTATCACATCGTCTATATTTTAAAATGAAGATGCTTTCCATCTACCTCAATGTAACAATAATGCTATGACAAAAAAAAAATTGTTCCTTGGCAGCAGTTCAGTGTGTGAGGTAGAAAGCTTCCTTCAGTCAGCACTTTGCTGATGATAAGCTTATAGAGAAAGATGATGTCTTGTTCACTGTGTATGTTACAGTTTGATCATCTGTTATTAACACCTCTTCCTCGTGTTCCACCAGATTACTGACTAAACAATGGCAGGAGATTGTAGAGGATGTTTGAAAAGTGTCTCTTAGTCGTTGTGTAATCATGGCATACAGGCTGAGAGAGATTGGTTGCCTGTCTGGAAGTTATGCTATACCAGATGATCTGTAGTGTTCAAGAGTTAAGTTCACATGAGTGTAGGAGAGTTGTGATCAAATTACGTGCATGGTTTTGCGGTTTTGAGAAATTCTTTCTCAATGCCAAACCCAGTAAAGGCTAAGTAGAATATACGGAGAAGTTAAATATGGTGTCTCTATAGATACTGAATACCAATAAATAACAGCGTGAGTTTTGGAAGAGATTGAGAATTATGTATAAATGAATATCATTAGTTGAACTAGGCTGATGTAGAAATACATATGTTTATATCTGTACATAAATTGTGAGAAATACTTTACGTTAAACTCTCTAAATTAAATTGGCTTGTTCAGTCTTAAAAATAAAACTTCCTATTTTAATTTTTCAACACTTTTAATAGCAACTGTAGCTATGCTAAATTGTAAGACAGATCTCATTTATACCCTGATCTTAAAGATACTTTCTTTGGCTGTGAACCTGCTGTCATGAAACATGGTAGAGATTATTGGCACTAATTTTGTCACCTCTCCTCTTTTTTAACAGGTGGTCTCCCAGATAAGAAGTTTGAGGTAGATAAACGAGCCATGAATCTCGGGGATTTTAATGACATGATGAGAAAGGATCGATCTGGGTTCCGTCCACCTAATTCCAAAGACATGGGAACCACAGATAGCGGGCCTTATTTTGAGAAGGTGAGAGAAATACCTTTAGATAAATTAGTATCGATCTCTATGTTCAAGGTCGCAGTTTTTACCCTGCTCCTCCTGAACTGCTAAAAATTCAGTAACCTTTGACAAACTCAATAATAAAAGGTGTGGGGGAGTTATGTTTGTAGAGTGAATGTGTATATAAATCAGAGGTGTCAGATGTGCATAGACAAACTAAATTATCTGGGGAGAATGAGGCGCTTTATTCTAGAACAGACTGCTCTTAATATGGACAGAAAGAAATTCCTTTGTTTTTCTTGGAAGGGTAAACTGCTGGTAGCAATGAAATTCATTATAGTTTCATCACAGTGATTCTTTTGGCTACTGACTACAGTCATCTACTGTAAAAAATTGGTTTAGATCTAAGTAAACATAAGTAATCACAGTCTTCCAAATTTTTTCTGCTTTCATGTCTGTCGTTTATTGGAAACACCCTTTCTAAATTCCACAACCCCTTATGCTGTATGTCCATGTACTGTAAGCTTCTGTATGACATCTGTTTCTCTGTGACATTTGTTTTATGTTATGGTAGTGTTTCTTTCTCATTCTTGCCTATTTTAAATAGAAGCTTTCACTGTTATTATCAAACATTAATTGCTTCACATTATGAATTGGAGAGTGTCCAGTAGGTTCAGAATGCTTTAGGGTTTTTTTTTAAATACAGTTTTATCACATGTAAAATGGAAAAGAAATTTGGTTTAAAAATTCAGAAGGTGTGTTACTGTCAATAAATTTTTTAACTCCTCCATTTTGGTATAACAGGCCAAAAACCAGTTTTGTGAACTCCCTCTGGTGGCCTAATTAATAAATACCACTAGCAGAGCTAATGCATTCCTAACAAATTATGTTGGTAGGTGTGTGCTAACATTAGGAGTTCATTCAAGATTTGTTTGTTTCTGTAGTGGTAATAGCCACTGTCAGAAACAAACTTCATGAGAGTTCAAAATGTATTTTTAAAAAGAAACCCTTAGGAATTTATTGTTTATCTCCTTGGACCAAAATCTTAATTGTCAAGTGATCATTTGAGTCAGAAGTTTTGTCCTTGTAATTGCTATTACAAATTAACTTTGCTTCTTCCTAGTCACTCACCGTCCCTCTTTCTCTCCTCTTGCATTCTGTTGCTTCACTAACCAACTCCTGCTGTTGGCTAACTGCTGCTTCAGCTGACTTTGCCTTTCTCCAATCAAGATGGGTGCCTTGGGGATGAGGCTCCCTGCTCTCCCTTCTCCCCTTCTCCCAGCTACAAGCTGTCTCCCTCTGGTTCCACACTATCCAACGTCGGCCTTGGGGCAATCGGCTCAGGGCTCAGTCCCCAAAACTTCGCTGCTAGACAAGTAAGCAGGCCACCTTATAAGATGCATTGTTATAAGGCTGCAACCTGGGCTTAATCCTGGTTAGTTGGTTGCTTGCATTTGTTTTCCTACTAAATAAATTAATATTGTTAATGGAAATTTCAGCTATATCAGGCCATTGAGAATCAATCCACTTTGGTTCCTATCATCAAAATGTTTTCCATCTGGTTTTGTTGGCCTCTTACTGCCTGAATCAGTGCAGCAGCAGATAGATGTGCTTTTCAGAAGTCATGAAGTTAGTGGCAACCTTTATATTTTAATTGCTGTTTTAAAACCCAGTTAGAAGCTATTGATTTGTCCCACCACCCCCCGACACCGAATTTTTCCAGATTCCACCCAATAACCTCGTATGTAGAAATATGCCTTTAAAAAATTGCAGTCATTTTGCATTGTGCCTGTTCCCTTCTCCCTGCCCCACAGCCCAAAGAAAGGATTGATTTAGCAGCCTGTAAAAACTCTTGAAGTAGTAATATTTTTGTTCTGTATACAGGGGAATGGTGGGGAAGAAGTGAAGTGGTTAGCTACAGTTTAGAAGAATTTCTGGCTATTATGTTTTGCATTATGCTAGAAGAAAGTGTTGCAGGAATACTAGGAAATGAAAGAATAGAACCTAAGTATTGCAACTGGACTAGCCTATGTAGTCACATGCCTAACATGATGGTGTTTCTTTGTGTTGTCTTTCTGTTTCTATGTGACACAATCAGTGTTGAACATAAGATTAAGTCCAAAACTTGCAGACATGTTCTTGGATTTGGTGTGTAGAACTCTGAGCTTTAGGGAGGGCTGAAAGTGTAGCTGCAGCTTCAAGCCTCTCAAAAATTTTTGTGTAGTTGACCCCAGTCAGTTCTTTCCAGAATAAAAACTCTTTTGTCTCTTGAGGTTTTTTGTTTATCCTCCTACATGGTTAGTATGACATCCCGAGTTGCTTCTGAAAGAGAACGTACATTAAGGAAGTGAAATGTGATGCAGGTGAATGAGGCAATCCATAATGCTGCTTGTATAGAAGCAGGATGAGAGACTTCTGTTGTCGCAAAAGGATGGTGGAGGATGCACAGTATTATGGTAGAAGGGAGGCAGAGTTTATGAAATCTTGGTATATAATGGAAGAAAAGGTTTTGGAGAAGGCCTGCACCATCTCAGTTTGGAAGAATGATTAATTTATGTTGGGTACAGCAGTACCAGCATGGAGAGGGAGAACAGAGAATGATGGATGAGGGTTGGAAAATGTACTGTTTAGAACACCAGGTGTCTGAGGATCATAGATGTACTGATACACAGCAGGAGATGGGAAGTTCTGAGGGTCTTGAAAATGAAAGGACAGAATCACGGCACATAAGGACCTTTTGGAGTATGAGCTTCAGCTTTTAGAAGCAACAGCATGTGACTGTTAGTATAGGAGACTGTCCATAATATTTCCTGTGGCTTTTGTTGAAAGATGTTACAAATAAAGACAGTCTGCTCAGAGGCTGAAATAGTGAAACATAATCACAAATTTTCTTTGGTCTTTTTCATGCGGTAGGGTTTATTATTACAGAAGTTGTTTATAAAACAGTAAATACTTCTCATTAAAAAAACTCAAACAGCAAGTATTCTTGTGTTAGAAAATAAATCGATGCAAGGAAAAAAAAAAATTTTTTTCTCGCTTGAAAATTTTCCTGCTCTTCAATTTAGTGGAAAAAAAGGAAAAGAAAAACATCCCAATCCAGAATGCTGAAGTTTTCACATCAGAAGGAAAACTTTTAATACATTTTTAGAATTCTAATTTCAGTTAGTGAAAGGTCTGCAGAGGAAGTAGTAGGCTTATGAGTAATGTCTCGACAACCTACTCAGAAGTACCTGACTTCTCTAAAATTATGGCCCAAAATTCTTGTTGACACAGTCTTGCCATACTTATAAGCTAATGGAATGGGCTCAACATTTTTGAGCATGTTGTTTGTACTCCAAGTTTCCATTTCCCAACATGTAAAGTGCAAAATATAAAACATTAGCTTTGTCACGTGCTTTGAAATAAGTGGATAAACATGACTCTTCAACGTAGAGGAGAAAGAGCCTGCATCTCAAAAATGTAGTACAGCAGTTTTAACCCAGGTAGAATATTACTGATTTAGGGCAAACATCTCAGTAATTTTAAGAGTGCTCTGTTTAAGTCAGTACTTGCCTCATTGTTATTGATACATAGTAATAGCATAGAAATCCATTATCCTGAAAGATTCATCTTCTCACTACTGCTTTAATTTTATAGGGTGGCAATCATGGTTTGTTTGGAAACAGCACAGCACAATCGAGGGGCATGCACACACCAGTGCAGCCACTAAATCCTTCCCCCAATATCCGGGCGCAAGTGCCTCCCCAATTTCTTTCTCCCCAGGTAAGGAATTTATAGTAACTGGTTACTTGTAAAAGTAGAGCTACAGCCTTCAGAGCACATCATTGAGGTTACTCATACATCTATCTTAGTCTTGATTGGATGTTAAGAAATTGGAAACTTAGATAAAATTAAAAATTGTAGTTGAAAGTGCTTAAACCTCACTGCAGAAGGATTAGCCTTCTTTCTTCTTCCATGGCAGTTGGTGGTAAACGCTTGCTACCAGTATTTTTAAACCTCAAAGTGGATTCAGGAATCCTATGTCTTACATAGGCTTTTGCAAAGTATTTTAAAAACAACAAAAAAAAGTGAAAGCTGGAAGTTTTTCTGAAGTGTGACAGGTTGCTTAATTTTTTTCAATCAGTCTTGTCCTGTGCTTCCTTCCCCCTGTGAAAGAGAGGCCTGATGAGGGCTACACGTTGCATTTACGTTGCAGAGCTCTAAGACCTCAGGGTCTCCAAATGCACAAGTTTACTTTTTGCTTTGGACTTCAAGACTTTTGGAGATTCTCTTGAATTCTACTTGTGTAACTCTCAAATAATGCAGGGAGAAATGGGGGGATTCTTCTCCACCTACTGTCTTTTACTATAGCTTATTCAGCGTACAAAGAGATTAACTCTTTCTGTGAGGCACTGTTTCTTTGCTCCAGTGACTGCCTGAATGCCTTTCTTTTCCCTTGTCAAGCAGTACATTTTTAATGTGATAATGCAGTACTGTGATTACTGGTTAGCTGCACATATATCAGCATTTTAATTTAGTGCAGTCTCTAGCAACCAATTGGTTGGGGGAGGAACCTTTGTGTGTGTGTGTCTGCATCTGCACATGTGATACTGTATATTGTCAATCCAGTGAGGTATTCACTCAGCTCAAGTCATAGATTGTGCATTTTTAAATGTGATGTGTTAAGAAACCTGTAATGTCTTTCCTGGAACACCATTTAAGATTGGTGTTGTACCTATTCCTTTATAGAAATACTTTATCATCTTTTCTCACAGCAGTGCATTTCTTGAGGATATGTAACTGATTTCCATGCAGGTTTCGGCCTCCATGCTCAAACAGTTTCCCAACAGTGGCTTGAATCCTGGTCTTTTCAATATGGGCCCCCAGCTTTCTCCGCAACAGATTGCCATGCTGAGCCAGCTTCCACAGATTCCCCAGTTTCAATTAGTAAGTAACTAGTAATCTTGTGAGACGGACTGTTTACAAATTGTCTGCAGAAAGAGTTTTCTTTTTGTTTGTTCTAATTCTGTTTTATTCTACTGATCTTGTATTATTTTTGTACAAGTATTCCCTGTTTGTTGTAAAGGAAAATGCAGCCCTGTTAGAAGGCAGCAGAGAAACTAAACAAGCCTGTGTAATTATTGTGAATGTTGCAGTGGGTTAGAAATGAGTCTAAGCAATATCTTTGTGCAGAAAGCAGTTGTTTGTTGATTTTTAATGAAGTTGTTTTCAGACTTGTAGTCATAGTGATGGTAGTAAAGCAGGTACTAGTAATACTGTTGCATGATGTTAAATTAGCAAGAAGTGAAGGATATAGTATTCTTCTAATGCTTTCATTGTCATTTTGAGTGTGTGGAATGAGAAACAGTTTACAGAAATTCTGAGCAAAGCATTTGCTAGTGACTAGCTCCTGGCAATTTTATCTCACTTAAGCTCTGTATTTTCACTCTTACCACCCCCACTTATCTTGTAGGCATGTCAGCTCCTCCTTCAGCAGCAGCAGCAGCAGCAGCTGTTACAGAGCCAGAGGAAGTTATCTCAAGCTGTGAGACAACAGCAGGAGCAACAGGTGTGGCACTGTTTTTGTCAATCACATGGAGCATAAAGTGCGCTGGGAAAATGCACTCTGCACCAGAGACGGCACTGGCTTTAGTAATGTCATCTGCTCTCTTCAGTTTGCACTGTCTTTAGATTGTACTTTTCAGAGAGCAGGGTCCTTTGGATCTCTTTCAAGTCACTGTTTCTTCATGTTTACTGGAATTCTGTGTTACAGTATAGGATACATCATCCCCATGTTTTTTCTTTCATTTGCAGATTGCTCGTATGGTGAGTGCCCTCCAACAGCAGCAGCAGAGGCAGCCTGGCATGAAGCATTCACCATCCCACCCTGTGGGGCCTAAGCCACATTTAGACAGCATGGTACCCAATCCTTTGAATGTGGGTCTCTCAGATTTACAGACCAAAGGGCAAATACCTGGATACGGTTCAGGTAAGTGCTCTGTGGAAAGAGATATGGTGCATTGCCTATAGTTACCATATTAGTCAGTTTTGTCTGGGTCCAGAAATGAGTAACTTGTGTGTATAAGCACTAGAGTGAAGGTTACGACATGTGTCAACTCTTGATCAAATTGCATTATTTTTCATTGCAGGGGAAGAAGACAAACCTACTAACAAAGTATATCTTGGTGGCAAATTGACCTAACAGTCTTATTTGGAAGTTGCCACTTGAACGTTTCATTTGCTAGTGTTGGATTTTTTCACCTTTCTTGTGATCACAACGACTCTCTGTTTGAAGTTATTTAAACTGAAAAGAGCAAATGACAATGGAGTTTTGTTTGTCTGTTTCACAGGCTTTGGCTCAAGTGGCATGGATTATGGCATGGTGGGAGGGAAAGAGGCTGGAACAGAATCCCGCTTTAAGCAGTGGACTATGATGGAAGGGCTGCCCTCTGTGGCTTCACAAGATGCCAATATGCACAAAAATGGTGAGAAGGGGACTGGCTATTTTGGGAATACCCTTGCAATATCATCTTGCCAGAGGTGAAATAGCTCAGATGAAACTATGCTTCAAGTCATTGAATGTCTTGCCTCACCAGTAGGCATCTTAAATATTTTTTGTTTCAGTACACCATACTCATAAAGATCCCAACTTTTCCGGAGTGTAAACGTTATCTTTTTTAATGCTTCAGGTGCAATTGTGCCCCCTGGAAAGGCTCGCGGAGGATCGCCCTACAACCAGTTTGATATAATTCAGGGCGACCCACTAGGTAGCCATGCAGGCCCTGCTGGTGATAGCTGGTTACCTGCCAAATCTCCACCAACGAACAAGATCGGAAGCAAATCCAGCAACGCCAGCTGGCCTCCAGGTATTACATAAGGGCAGGGGCTATGTCCAAGCTTTAAAGTAGATATGCTGGGACCTTTCCTCATCATACTTTTTCAATAACCACTGCAAGGAAAATATTTGCTTGGCTTATCATTTTTCAAATTTCTTCCACATTAAATTAGAACGTAAACGTTGAATCTCCAGTAAAAAACCGCTGGGCTAAATATGAACTAACTGCTGAATTGCCTGAGTAGTATTTTGTTTTTGTTAGGTGAACTCTGATCTTCTATAGTTTGGTGACTTTACACTTACAGAAATTTTCATGAGAACACTTGTTCATAGAAGACACATTACCAGCTCCCTCCTCTTGTATTGATTCCTTCCTTATTTCAGTTGTGTTAGGCTGACACGGAGTGTAAAAATTCTGACTGATAGTGTGGAATCAGAAAGCAAAAGATGTGAAAGCTTGTTTTTTGTGGTGGTGGGAACAGGGTTTTCTTGACTTTATGTATTTTACGTAGCATGAACTTTTCCTCTGGCAATTGTTTACAAATACAATTCATTGCGGACCACCAGGTTTCTTTTGCCACCAGTATTGGTACAATATCTATACAATGTGTGTGCTACGCTGTTGTGGTTTTCCTTTGCTCATGTCGTGTAAAGGATAGAAGAGTAGTTGCCATGTTTAAGTACTACTCAGCAATCTTGTGGCTTGAGTGGAAGTTTTTTGCTTTTTGGATTACAGGCAGTAGCACATTCTTTAAGTCTTTTAGAGTTTCATTGGCAGAATTTTATCTTTCCGCTAGAAAACTCAAGTGTCTAGGAAAATACATACGTATTTGAACACACACATAATTTTCTATATAAAACATTTGTTAAACAGGGTGGTGTCCTTGAAGTTGCACGATTAGTCACCAGTGCTGTTCAGCAAATAGTGGATGCTGTGATTTTTCTCTGCCTGGAAGACACTTACATTTCAAGAAAAACACTAACTGCAAATCCTCTACTGTGTATCCCCTCAAGCACAAAAAAGTAAAGGTGCAGGTACATCTGTGGGGTAAACCAGTAGCACAGACCTTGCATCAGAAAGCCTAGGAATCTGTGTGATGGATACAACTACAGGAAACCTACAAAAAGTAGCTAAAGCTTTATATGTGGGAACCCCTCAGTGTCTTAAGTCTGGCAAGAACATGTTTTCTGATGACCTAACTAAGTTAAAGAATTAGTTATTTCAAGAACATCTGCATACCCACAGCACTTCATACCACTGACTGCTCTCTGTAGAGGTGTTATTTGCATTATGTTTCTGTCAGCATGGTTGTTAAGTACTGAGCTTCTTGAGCTGGAGTTACTGTTCATAATGCCACAGACCCCCAAAATTTAAATTTTTTTGCAGGACCACTCTCGTAGACCCATTGTTGCTGAACTTTTTCTTTAGTTACCATTCCCCTATATAATACTGAGAAACACAGTACTGCTTGCAATGTTAGGAGAAGGATGTGAGCATGAGCTCTGCCATGTTTCCAGATTGTGGAGCAGCCACTGGCTCTAGGAAGATTCTTGGTAGCCGAAGGCTGTTTCAGAAGCTTGAATAGCTACTCTTTGCCCCTTGTCGATATCATAGAGTTTCCTTAGTGATACCTGCAGTCCCACTGTCAGGGATAAGCGAAATTTTTGCTGTTGCTGACTGTGTCACCACTGTGAGAGGATAGCTGGAGTTCACAAATCCTGAAGATAAACTCTCACCTGGGATCATCAGTACCATCCCCAATTTCTTGTGTAAATGAGTAGCCCATGACTGTTATTGCAGATGTCATGTAACAGATCATGGGGTTTGGCATGTGGCTTTTATGCAATTATTGCTGTATTGCTAGCCCTCTCTTAGGAGGTTCACAGACTATTGGGACAAGTGTTACTGTCCCAGAACCATCAGCCACTTACGCTGTCTCATAGCCCCTCTAGCTTATTGGCTTCCTCGAGAAGGAAAACTTAGCTGAAGTCATGATCCACCTTATCAACGCCCCGATGAAGAATAAAGACCCAAAATGATTTTATACTGTAGGTCCTTTTTCTCTGCAAGCTTGTAGATGAGGCCCACTGTCAGTTCCTGGCATGGAGATACAATTTTTCTTCCTAGTGTTGGAAAATAAGTTGCTAACGAAAATGAGTTTACAAGAGAAGACCTCTTGAAATAGGTGCATTTTTCCTTTGAATGAATACAGTGGTCACTCAGCATTCACCCTGACTACACCTTTCGCGTTTTCCTCCTAAATGCCATCTGCTGCAGAAATTCTGCCGTTCAAGAGAGCAGTATTGTTCAGCACAAAGATAAATGAAGTGGTGCCCAATCAAACTGATATCACAGCTGGAGGTGAGAGCAAGTTTTGCTGCATTGGTGAGAACTGTATCTTTTGGTTATGTCACACAGACTTGCATACCTAGGTAATACTAGACTGTAATTTTCCTATTCAAGAGCAGTTCAGTCATATACTCCAGGCAAACTGACCTGGATGTGTCTGTCGTGGTTTTCCTAATAATCTTGTGTTTGAACTTTTTGGGAGGACCTTTCAAATATCAGTGGAAAAATGCACTTCATGTTTTCTTTACTATCTAGAAATAAAATAGCATGTCTGTAGGGAAAGTTGGTGAATGTGCATGAGAGTAACTGTCAATCCCAAAGTATAGTTTGGAAATTTGTCAGTATGCTGAAGTTCAAGGAAAACTCTTCTCCAGACCAGGATTATCTTGATGAGTGAGTGTGTTTGCATACAATACACCTGATCTTTGGAGCCTTGTTTGAATATTCCTTAACTTTTTGATGAGAGCATACTATGCACTTAATTTTCAGTCTAACCAATTCTCAGAAATCTTTACAAAGACAAGACTTGGACTTAGTCAAGGAAGTCTAATTTCCAGGTCCTAATCTGTGCTTATGGGTTCTTTATCTCTAAACAGAGAAGATCTTTTGACTAGACCCAAGAGCTGCATTGCTTGTTCCTTAAGCATAAGGTGGTCCTATTTGTCAGAGGATTGCAGCATTTTGGCAGTAGCAGAGCAGATTCCTTCCTTGATGCAGTACTGATTGCTCATACTGTTAGAAACGTTGATACCTGGTATCCTAGATTATTTTGTTGAGTTACTACAGTTTGGGAGATGTGACTGAGGTTTGCAAAATTATGAAGGCAGTGAACAAGATAAATGCAGAATTGTAACTCTGAATCTTGCAACACTAGAACCATGGTGCAAATGCTGGACTTAAGAAGATATAAATTTTAAATAGATGAGAGTTTTTTCGTTTGGGGTTTTTGGTTTTTTTTCTCCCATTGGGAGTGGTGAACTTCTGCAGTGCGTTGCTTTTAGAGCTTGTGGAGACAGGTAGTACTAGCCAGTTGAAACTGGTTGGATAAACAGATGGAAAAACAGTTTCACAAGCAGGTGCTAGCAGATAGAGGGTATTTCTGACATCCTAGATAGAAGGACTGTGGATGCTGGAAGAGTGTGAGGGCAGTTGCTTACAGATAGTGGCGAGATTTGTGTTCTGTCCCTAAATGGTATCCCTCCAACCACTGTTAGCAGAATACTGGGCTAGATGGACCACAGTTCTGACCCAATGGGGTATTTCTTCTGTGTTCTCTGAGATTCTCCTGCCAATGCATTATCACAATCTAATACTGCCCTTGCTGTGCCAATTGTTTGAACCAGTAATATCACGTTTTCTTCTGTATTTGTGTGTGAAAGTCATAGTCTTGACTATGCTGCTTCATTACAAAGGTGACTGAAATGAACCCTTCCATGCCAGATTCACCTTACATTGTTTCATTCCAGAGAGCACATCCTAGATCCCACTTTTAATCAAGGTTTTTTAATTACACTCAAATATTCTGTCAATTATTTCAAAACTTCAGGTTGGGAATAAAGGTATCATTCCACATCCTGGACTTGTATCTGCAAGGGATGAATCTGCTACCTTGGCACTCTTTTCACACTTATCCAAATTGTCACATAGTATCTGAAGCTTCTTGGTTTTGTGTTTGGCAGTTTTACTTTCTTATCACTGCTTCCAAAATTGACCACAGCACTTTATTCGTTGAACATCTGCTCAGTGAAAGAACCAAGTTCCTGATCTTTCTTACAGTAACTGGAGTTTTTGTATGTTCATACTTTATATAATTCATCCTCTTGTTTTAAAAATCTGGCATGCCTGGAGCTGTAGTTGAAAGGAAACTAAAGCATGATAAGTATATTCCATCTCATTGTGAAGCATGAAGAATGTCAATGAGCATATACATTGCTTTTGCCACAAAGCATCTCACCTTAGCATTACCTCAATATTGATAGTTAATGTATAAAGTATGTGTGTACCTGCAGTGTAAAGTGTCAAATGTTGTGTTTACAAACTCCTAAGGTAGGTAGCCTTTGCTTGAGAAGGGCTTCTGCACATGCACAAAGTGTGTGTGTGCTGAATCTAATCTTATAATATATAATCTAATTTTATATATCTTAAAAAATACATAACCTATTAAGGAAGGTTCAAACTATTGAAGCCTCAACTCAATGTAGTAAAACAGGAATAGTCAAAGGAATACCGTATGCACTTGCTCCACTTTTTTGTAGTGTAGTTGTATTCGGACACTAGAGATAGTGCCATGGGAGGAAATGTGAAATAGATTTTAATTGAGAAGTCTGTTTTGGTTTTTTTTTTTTCTGAGAAACAGTGTAGAAGACAATTTACCCTTCTAAAATATCTTCAGCAGTTAACTTCCAGTAAATGGTGTTTCCCTGTTTTCAACTAATTCCTTTTTCCCCCCTGTCCCAGAGTTCCAACCAGGAGTGCCATGGAAAGGTATACAAAACATTGACCCTGAATCTGACCCCTATGTGACCCCTGGAAGTGTGCTGGGGGGGACAGCCACATCTCCCATTGTAGATACTGACCACCAACTTCTGCGGGACAACACCACAGGTAAAACAGTGAACAGCTGGTATGTGGTTATTTAAGTTCTTCTGATGTTCCTGTCATAACAGGGTAACAGTCTATTGCATTTGACTAAGAAGGAAGCCTAATTGCCTTTGCACCGTGGCTGTGTATCATGTGAAAGCTTGACATTGGTACAAATTGTGGCTCTCTTGAGGTTCAACAGTATTACAGAAACTCTGTGAAATTGGCCTACTCTTTTTCTCTCCTTTTCCCTTTGATAGGGTCTAATTCTTCCCTCAACACCTCGCTGCCTTCACCTGGTGCCTGGCCCTACAGTGCCTCTGACAATTCCTTCACCAACGTTCATAGCACTTCAGGTATGTGGGCTCCAAAACTTACCTGGACAAAGCATTTTCTGCTTAATCACTAGTTCCTCATTCTTGTTCCACTTCGAATATTTAGTCTTTCAGTAATTTCTGAGGAACTAAAAATTTGAGTGGCTGATCAGGTAGTTTTCCTCCTGAAGATAAAATACTGTTGTAGTTGCTTTAAAAACTAGACTAAGATCCTCTGCCCTTCCTCCCACCCCCAGTACAAAATTCTTAGTTACGCAAGTTAAAGAACAGGGTAGCAGTGAGCAGCAGAGGCAAAAGGGGGAAAAAAACCCCACATGCACAATCTGTTGATACATGCAAGGGGTTGGGGGACTGTCATAATTTTTTTAACATACCTGCTCCTGTATGTATGAGTTAAGCAGTTAGAGTAAATAAGGTGAGTGATTTTACTCATCTTAAATTCAGAATATTGGAGTGCTGTGAAGGGAATGTTTTTGCCTTGCCTTTTATAACACTTATCATTCCCTGAAACTCGGAGAGAGAGAGGGGCCTTTTCATCCTCTGGCTTTTAATGGTTGGCCTGTAAATAGTAATTCAGCTATCTGCCTCAGATCTTGGTAAGAAGGTCTCCAAAGCTTTCTTGTGAAAAATGGTTTCTGCACACACTTCTGAGTAGGATGCTGGAAATACTTGCTCCAGACAAACCATTTGGATTTTGAACTTCTTACAAATGCCAGAGTTTTCTCTTGAGACATCATTGTCTTAACAACTACTTAAAACTGAAGAATTGTGTTTAAATAGCAGAAGTGATGAACATAGCTGAGAGCTGCATCTGGCCCAAACTTTATGGGTTTTGCATCTTACTGAATAAAAGCTGTGTTCGTATGTTATCTCAGCATCTTCACAAAATGTGTTGAAAATCCTATTTAGCCCTCGAGAAAAACAGTGTTCCTGCTGCCAGTTTGTGCAGCATTCCAGTGACATGAAAGATTTCTTTCATAGCCTGGGGAAAGGAGTGGCATGTATCAGCTTCTTACCTCTGCTGATTTTTTCTCTAGCACATAAGAAAGACCCAAGAGATAAAAAAATGATTGAAGTCATAGTTGAATTGAGGAAACTAGACTACTGCCTGGCACACATACCATCTTCTGCTCGTCTTGTTAAACTACACACCAGCATTGTACAGCCAGAAAGCAGGTCATCTGAATTAGGGATTTGGAATTCATGTGTGTCTAAAACAAACTGGGTCTAGTGAAAGCTGGTTTTTAAGCACTTTTCGTATACTTTCATAGGCTAGTGCTTGAAACCTGCTTGCTATTGACAGTTACTCTGTTGTGGAAATACAGTGATCCAGCTGTAAAATGAAGCATGCTTTTACTTGCTGAAAGCTTTATGGTCTTGATTCCCAAATGTATTATTTTCTGGCACCCTGGCTTATTGTAAACCTGGATTTTTACCGTTTGTTTCAAGTAAGTAATTTACTACCGTTTGTTAGTGAATAGAGCTTAATACGTGTATTTGCACACACATGCACCAGAGTTCTGATTAAGATAATTAATGACTAAGCTAATTCATGATACAAGTGCCTTTTCCTCTCAGATTGCCTTGTCTGTGTTTGCTGGTTCTCATTACAGAACAAGGAAAAAAAAATTACTCGAGCAATTTTGACTTTTGGTTTGGGTTTTTTTTGCTGGGCGATAAATATCCCTTGGTGTCAGAAGGTGTGGGAGAATTTGTGGTCTGCCTTCTTAAGGAAAATTGGCTTACGAAGAGCTCCCAAATATTCATGACCTGTAGTGATGTTTTGGGGAGCGTGTTAATTTTTATCTTTTAGTGGACTTTTATATAAAAGGTTCTTGAAATGTTAGGGATATCCACTGTTGACCTTAACTTCTCCTAACAGGCATTTGGTAATGGTTTCTAATAAAAAAATGAATGTGCACTGTCAGGATTTAAAAGTGCAGTTGTCACACAGCTCAGTGGCCTTCTTTGTGTTACTGTCATGTCAGCTCTGTATGAAATTTGTGATCTGTGAGAAAGCTTTGACCTTACAGGAGGACGTCTTTAGGAGGTAGCGTTAGCTTAGTAGACCAAGAGTGGTAAATATTCATTTCAGTTCTCTGCAAGTTTTTGGCCTGACGAAGGTTCAGTTTCATTAAAGGTCAGTAGTGCCCAACCTTGTAAGAAATTCTCAGATTCTTAAAGGAAATGTAGTGTGGACGTAATAGTTGCTGTTTGTCTTATTAATGATTGAACATACTGAGACTGACTGGTTACATTATCATAAATGATCTAGGGATTTTTTTTTTTGTCAGCATATATAAAATAAGCAAAAATTAGTTAACTTACATGTAGCATGGCTTTTTTTCGGTATGGTAAGTTAACTGTTGTATGGTTCTGTGCTTTGTGGTTGTCTCCAATATAAATGCGGTCCAAGGGTTTACAGTGATAGTACGGTTAAAGGCTAGTGGAATCTCCTGAGTTTCTCTAATACGTACAATTTATTTAATCTTCTAGCAAAATTCAGTGATTACAAATCAACATGGTCCCCAGATCCCATAGGACACAATCCCACTCATCTCTCCAACAAGATGTGGAAAAATCATATTTCCTCAAGGAACACTACAGGGCTGCCCCGCCCGCCTCCTGGCCTGACCAACCCCAAACCATCATCTCCATGGAACAGCACAGCACCCCGATCGGTCAGGGGCTGGGGGGCACAGGACTCACGGCTTGCCTCTGGTGAGAAGAATCAACTGATAGCACCATTGATCAGACCTGAGGAGTGTACGTTTTACAGCACTAATGGTTTGGAGGAAAGAAAGTTGCAGTTGTCTGGTAAAAGGAAAAAAAAGTTCCTTCTTGAAAGGGAAATTTGCTGTCAGTAGTCGGGGTGGGGGCTGGGGGTGGAATCCCAGGTCCTGCTGCAGGGAATGAGTGAAGAGGGCCGAGAGCTGCCAGGAGGGAATATCTACTGCATGGGGCCTTTCAAGACTGGATGCTTTCAGTGGGTGGGAAACTCCTTGAAGATAAACTCCAGTAAAAGGTGACTCGATGTGAGATGCGATGCAAGATTTGTGTTTGTTTTCAGGACGAAGATTAGGCTTTCATGTGTTAGCAGGGCTGATAATGCTGAATTTGTCTGAGATTGGAAGACCTGACTGTAAAGAAAAATAGTTTTCTTTGTATCAGATCTGTCTTGATTGTTCTGTCCTCTAATTTGCAGCATCTACTTGGAGTGATGGTGGCTCAGTTCGTCCTAGCTACTGGTTGGTTCTTCACAATCTCACTCCACAGGTATTTTCTGTTGTTGTCTCTGGGAAATTGTTTGCTTTACCAATATACGGATTTGTGGATTCTTCGGTTGTTTCTCTTTGAGTAAAATCTAACAATCAGGTTGGTCAGCATATGTAAGATGTGTTTCTACTAAATTGGGCTGCAGTCTGATTGGTTTTTCTATGGTAATCTCTTCAGCTAACTTTTAAGGTGCTCAGTTTTTGCTACATGACCGTCATAACCTTTCATTACCTAGAGTTTCAAAAAAATTACTGGAACAGAAAGGTTTTTCTTAGACATGAGGATAAGTTGCATGACCATAATGTGGAATGGTTTATAGCTGTTAAAGAGGCTGTTCTTTGGGATGTTGTCAGTAAGAAAGCTGGTGTTACTGCCAGTTTTCACTTTGGTGTTTCCATAGTGAAACCACAGAATGTTTCCAGCACTCCTGCCAAAAGCAGTCTCGTTAGGTTATTCCTGCAAGCATTCTCAGAGCTTGCTTCCATTCAAAATGAATTCTGTGGAGATCCTGGTTTCAGCAGTCCCAATTAGTCTGTATTCAAGGCTTAGGAAAAGCCTGTGTGATTATCAGCAGCGCCCTGAGGTCTAGACAGAGAGTCCCCTGTTCAGCAGGATAATTTACCATACTTTTACTACAGTCTGAGAAAACATCAATGTGGAAGGAAAAACTAAGGTCTCCTTCAGATCACCCAAAATGGTGCAAACTGTGCTCCTTTCATAGAAGAGACTTTTCCTTGAGGTGAAGGAAACAGCAGTGGTGTGATGAAGAGGCACAGTTTTAAGTCTTCCTTTTGTAAGGTAGTTTAATACTGGTTTAGGAGTCATTTAAAGGAAGAAGAATATATTTTGGAGGTGTCTTAAGTTAATAGAAAAGAGAAAGAGGCAGATTGTAATTGTCTCTTCCATAACAAATCTTCTATTTATTGGGTGTCAGTACACTAGTGAGAAGGAAGCGTAAAGGTTAAGGTGGATTCAGGGACAGTATCTTCATTTCAAGTTTCTCTCTTTTAACTTTGTCCATATTTGTACCCACACACAACTTCCTTTCCCCTCATTTGAGGTTATATTATATAATGGGGGGAAAAGAAGAAGGAAGAAAGTAGCACTTCCTTAAGTATCTGCACATATGGATCCCATTCGTGTGTGCATGTTCCTGTGGCATACCAGGAATGGAATCTGTCTGTGCAGAACACCTTGGAGAACAGCAGTTACTGGAGGTAAGTAACAAGCTGTTACTGCTGCAGAAGGAATGTAGGCAACAACTGCTGTGAAAACAATAGTTCAGGAGGAATGAGCATTGCTGGGTTTGGCAGAAAGATCACTGGCTGTTTCTGTGGCTTACTGTTTCATAAACCACAAAGACAAAAAAGCACCAAAATAAATTTAAAAAAAAAACTCGTTGCACAGGTGATATTTCCAGTTTTGCAAAGAACTTTTAAATACTGGTTGATCTAAATTCTACTGAAATCAGAGTGCTGGAGACTAGGAGATTCTGGCTCCCTTGGTACAAATCCTGACGGCTGAAGATGGTGAGAAGTACAAGTTGTATATAATTACTGGAAAACCTGCCAACGTAAGGATAGTGACAACATAAGAAAAGCAGTGAGGTGGGGAAAACTGGACTCAAGCTACAAGTGAGCAAGAAGGATAAGTCAGATTATTCCATAAAGCAAAGTCATTGTAATTGTGAGAAGTCGAGGCATACCAATTCTGTTTGAAAATTAAATTCCGTCACCTTTGCTTGCTTCCCACTGCTTTCACCTGTTTTCCTTTCCGAGAGCAGATTATCTTTTAATTACTGAGACAAAGTTAGGATTCGAGAAATAGTTACAAACATCTGTTTTATCCTGGCTGTTCTTCCTCAGATCGATGGGTCAACCTTGAGGACGATCTGCATGCAGCATGGCCCACTGCTGACATTCCATCTGAACCTGACCCAGGGCACCGCCCTTATCCGATACAACACCAAACAAGAGGCGGCCAAGGCCCAGACTGCACTGCACATGTAAGCAATCCCTGTGTCCGTTCTGTTACTACATTAGTCATGAACACAGAACACCTGTCTGGTGCTATGCTTTGGAGACTCATTTCAAGTGTCATGGTTGGAAGGGAATCTTTTGTTCACCGCAGAGGAGGAAGAGAAACAAAGATGCCTCCTTCTGTTTGTGTTACTTTAATTGCTGGCACAAACTGGCACATACAGAACTAAGAACGTGCAAATGGGACGGAACTGTGACCAGTATGCACCTTTACTGTACAATTTTGGCCATTTTATAAAAGCTTGTGAATTGTTTCCAATGAAAATCATTCTTATATGCATAACCCAAATGTGTAGGAATCTGCTATAGTTTTGAGATACACCTGAAACAGCTTACTTGAAAAGCTGCAGATCTTAGGTTTCCTGTTCTTAAGCTTTTTAGAACTGACTGTGGCTCTGGTATGTTTTGAAAATGCGAGAGCTTTTGAGACAAAAATCTTGGGGGGGTGGCATGGTGTAAGCCCTTAAACTGAGTGAAAACTTTTGAACTATACTAATTTTATCCTGAATTTCACAGGCTTTTACCCTGTTCTTCCTCTGTTTTGTTTGAAAGGTGGCATGCATGCATTTACCTTTTTAGCTACCCTGTAAAGGCACTTTTATTGCTCTTGGTGTTAATGTTCAGGACCTTAGTCTAAACTTAGAAAGGTTTTGTTGCAGGCATAACAACTGGATGTTGAGAGGAGGGGTTTGGTTGGTTGGTTTGGGGGCTTTTTTTCCCTTTATAAAATGGAAGTTCTTGTGTTTTGAGTCAGTTTCACTGTTGAGAACGGCTAAAGTTTTCTGTGCTTGCTCAATTGTGGCAAGCTCCTTTGGTTTGGGCACATAAGAGTGTTGTTTCCATGCCTTCTGAAATCCTTGCCCTTAACTTCTGGCTCTAGTTACAATTTTTTTTCCTTCTGTATCTCTTGTCTTCTAGGTGTGTGTTGGGAAACACTACCATCCTGGCTGAGTTTGCCACAGATGAAGAGGTTAGTCGCTTTCTGGCACAAGCTCAGCCCCCTACACCTGCAGCAACCCCAAGTGCACCCACAGCAGGCTGGCAATCCCTGGAGACGGGACAGAACCAGACCGACCCAGTTGGACCTGCTTTGAATCTCTTTGGTGGGTCAACAGGGCTTGGGCAGTGGAGCAGTGGTGGCGGCGGCGGCAGCAGCAGTGGGGGTGATCTCACTGGCGCTTCGTTGTGGGGGCCCCCAAACTATTCTTCAAGCTTGTGGGGGGTCCCGAGTGTAGAGGATCCACACAGAATGGGCAGCCCTGCTCCCTTACTACCTGGAGACCTTCTGGGAGGAGGGTCGGATTCAATCTGAACTTAGAACTTTCAACTCTGACCTCGTGACCTTTTTTGGAACAGCAGCAGCACTAACTTGACCTTTTTGTTTTTTTCAACTTGCAATAAATACATTTATAAAAGGAAAAAAGAAAACGGGAGAGAGAAAAAAAGGTGGGTCATTGACAGACTGTCTGAGCACATAGTTGCCTCCCTTATATAACTTCAGTTTTTTCGTTTGGAATATGAATCCAAAAAGAGAACATATCACTCTTGAAATACTTGAATCATGAACGCCAACTTAGAAAGACAATGTGAAGCAAGTACACATACCATTTAAATTTAAACACAAAAAATTAAAAAAATTAGTTTCTAGTTTTTCACTTTTTCATGTTATACGGAAGTTGTTGCTAAGAAACATATATACTGAAAAAATAGCTTTTTAACTTTGTTTGCACTGGGTGTGTTTCCGTCCTTAGGTCTACCATGTTGGGCTGGGGTAGGGGAGGGGTTCAAATGAAAAAAGGGGTTGGGGGGAGGGGAAGACTTGACGGAGCCTCACTTTAAAAACAAAAAAATAACTAAAAAAAAAATTTAAAAAAATAAAAAACCCACAAAAAAAAAACAAAACAGAAAAAAAAAACCAACAAAACAAAACAAAAAAACCAACACTTTGTGATTGGCTGGTTGATAAGTACCAGTGTGTTCTGGCACATGTAACTGCCCACGTGTGCTTGTTTCTGTGTGAGTGTGTGTGCACATGTTCGTGTGTGTGCATTTTTTTCTCTCTATATATAATCTTGAAACGCTGCATTGCTGATGGTCTACGGGCTGGCTGGCCATCTGCATGTCTTGATTCTGAAAACAAGACAGGCATGGTGGAGTCCCTGTGGCTGAAGCAGAATCCAGTTGGGCTGGATTAAAATTGTCAGTAGGTTTTTTTAAATTCATTTTAGCAGGGTGCTATCTCAAGTCTGCAGATCATATTGAGTGGGTAGTTGCTTCCTAGCCCTTGTTCTAACCCTGTGGTAGAGCAGAACACTGCCATATCCAAAGGATTTGGTGAGAGGGGAGCCAATGTTGTCTTTTGAGTAGCAGTGTATTTATTTATTTATGTCTGCATGTGGGGGTTTTGTACTGAGTGAACCCTAGAATGTTTGTTATATAATGCAAGCCATTTTTTTCTTCCAGCGAGGGGAAAAGAGGAGGAAAGAAGACATTGCCATTTTTTGTGCGACTAAGACAAATGTTCTTATTCAGTCTCTCGCAAGCTTCAATACCTTTTTAAAAAACGAGTGTTTCCTTTCTCCCCCAAAACTAAATAGGCACCCATACTCATTCTTGAAGAATCCATCAAAAGCTTGAAAGTCCAGCCCAACCAAATTAGCCTTTTGATTGATTTACTGCTTGTATTAAAACTGACAAAAAACGAAATCGTGTCAGCAAATTGCTGGCCGGCCTGCCTCATCTCCTGAAAGCACATGCAGCGAACTCCTTTCTGCGTCCTTCATGGTGAGCGTTACCTGTGCCAGGCCTTGGTGTATTACAGCACCAGACCATCACTGACAGAAACGTTTACTTACGAATGTTCTTAAACCAGTGTGTACTTCAAACGTTTCCTTCTGTTTCTCTGTGTTGTGTTTTTTCCTGTGTACGTGGTTTTGCTTAGGGAGGTATATAACTAGCAAAGACTTTTTTTTTTTTAAAAGTATTGCACCTTTTTGTTTTTTGTTTTTACTTTCTCTGTACTGTTGCTTTTTAATTTCTGTATTTAAGGAAAGGTTTGGGGTTTTTTTAGCATCAGTGTAGTAGTAATCTGGGCAGGATAGGGGTGACCTAAAATCCACAGTGATAGCCAGTGTGTGCATGCATGTGTGCGCTGGGAACAAAACTTTTAAGACCTGTCGTTGTGAAAAGAGTTGTAGCAGACCTGAAGGAACATCCCTTGACACGAAGCGGGAAGTCTTTTGGGGGGGTGGGGCCGGGAGAAGAGGGAAGAGAGGTGCCGGTACTTTTTCCAGAAGTGCTAGGACTTCCATGTGGTGTTGTCTAGCTGTTACACTGTCTGTAAAGTGCCGACATTCTGTACCAGCACATACCTGTCCATTCCAGCCCTCGGCGGGAGCAGTGCTCGGGCTTTATGACCTGGGGGGGGAGGATATGGGAGTCTCGTCTTTTCAGCATTCTCATTGAAGGATATGGCAATGTCTAATACATTTAACTCTAACCATGGGTTGGGTGGGGAGAAGCAAAAGCAGATTCAAGTAATGTAGGGGCATGCGTTTGTGTGCGTGTGTGTGTGCTGGGGGTGGGAGGGAAGGGCTAGGGATTTGCGTGGCTTTTTTTAATTCGCCCTTTCTATGTAAACCCAATGTCACAAGGAAAACTGACTGAGGGAAATGCTGCATATACACATGCCTGTAGATTTGTATGCAAAGTGTTATGTGACAAAAAGTACGAGTAGGTTTGTATTTGTTTAGTAAACTGGAGTGTGCAGCATACTCTGGCCCCTTCTGAATATACTTTTCTGTCATGTCTCCTCCTTCATCCATCCCACCGTGCACAAAGAAACAAAACGCTCTCTTCCAGCTCCTGCTAGCTAGTGCCCCTCGCGTCCACACATCCATAAAGCTTTGTTCTGCTAGTCTCTGCTTGAAGACCAGCTGCGCTCAGACACGCAGAGCAGGTTCTTCAAAGTCCTGTGCCAGCAGTACTTCCTAGTGAAGCACCTTTGGCCCAAGTAAGGCAGTATCTGTTCCGTCACATGAATTGCTATACGTGCTGGTTCATTGCTGTGTTCCACCCTCACTTCTCTCTCCCAACCTGCCCTAAGGTCCCTTTTCCTGCACTTTGGGCTAGTTGAGTTCATTGCGATACTACGGTGAAAGCCGGGTGCTAGAGCCCCTCTTGTTTACAAGACATAATGAGGGATTTGAAATATTTAAAAAGAAAAGCTAAATTGTTCTTCCATTGTAAGCTTAAAGGGAAAAAAATTAAAACGTACAAAAAAAAAGACCAAAAAGTGCATATATATATTTTAGATGAAGACTAACTCTGGGAGCATTTAACAGTGTTTTTGTTTTTATTTTAACATTTTATTTTCCTGCTTTAAATTTGCAAGCATTCTCAGGAATTCTAGGGTAGGAAGCCAGTTTTTTGAAGATGGTTTATTTAACCTTATCTTATCCTAGATAGATGGCTGTTTCTTGTTGATAAACTTTTACAAGTTCCTGAATCTTCAAAATGTTTGAAAGTTTTTACTTTAAAATAAAAATGCTAAAAAAAAAAATAAAAAGAAAAAGAAAAAAAGAAAAAATCTCCAAATGTTACTGTCAAGCGGGGGATCAAGAATTATAAAGACTGTATAAATTAAAATACAGTAAGAAAACTTCTCAATATCAGCAACAGAAATTCATTGTAATGTTGAACAAGTTGTGGGAGAAGAGGGGTTATCATTTATAGTGCTTTGTTACTCATGCAGACATGTATGCAGTTGCATGGAGAAGAGAAGTGTGTGAATGGAAATCTATCACTTTGTTCCCTCTCGATTGAAATGAAACGTAAATATTCTTCCAAGCACCTTTTTAAAAGCAAAGTGAAACTATAAACCTAATTAAAATGCAGTATAGTTTAACTGAAAGAGTCCTCAGTTAGAATGACTAGCAGGAAATAAATGATGGTGCTTCTTTAAACCACTTCTAAGTAGTGCTAATGAAAACCAATGCTGACAGAATACCCAATAATGAAGCAGGTTTATTATCCTGCCTTTTTCAGTACAGAAAAAGGAGAGAATATGGAAAAACTCCAGTAAAATGTACATTAGAAATCAACTTTCCTGTTTTCAGCTCTTTGGTCAATTTATTCCCCACTTGGAGATTTGCTGCTTGCTTTTCTTCACCCACCCCACCTCCCAGTCTTTCTGTTCTACTTTATATGAGGAAAATATTTGTTAAACTCTTCTGTTCACCCTATTGCTGCTGGCTGTCAGGGCTTACAGTCTTGAACTTCAGAGTTCAGTGTTGGGACAGCCAACTACTGTCTCCCAGCTCTAAGGGTCAGGGGCTTACTCTGCCTGAAATGGCTAGGCTCAAACCACAAAAACCGTGCTAGTGCCTTTTTACATGCACCCACATGCCCTACGGTAGGGGAAGGGAGGGAAGAGGAGGCAAAGTGAGGCAGTACAGCCGCATCATGGAAATAGATGTACCTGTTCTTAAGGAAAAGGAGCATGCTGCTTAACGTGCAATGAGTTACATAACAATAGTTGAGAGAACTTTTTATTATCTAAAGAAAAAAAAAATCAGATGCCAAATTCCTGTCCTTTTCATATCAGTTGCCCAGTGTTTTCGTGTTGCGCTGCGTGTACATCTGAGTGTATACGTGTGTGTTGAAAATAATGCATCAGTAATAATAATAATGCGCTTTAGGAAAAAAAAAATCTTTTCATGGGCCAGTAGAAGGAGGGTTTATTTAGGGAGTTTGGGATTTTATTTTTTTTTATTTTACAGAGGTAATTTCTAAGTGCTTCGCCAGAGGCTGTGTTTTATCAAATCGGCAGTGTCCTGAAAGAGAGGAAATCATAGAATATAGTCAAAAAGAGCCCAGGAACTTGACAGCCATTTGGAAGCGGGTTGTGCCTGACTGCTGAAGGGTCGGTGGTCTGGAGCATCAGCAGTCTGCTGGGTCCAAACCTGTTGTACTACAGCAGTGCAACAGTCTGCTCCTCCTTTCTCTAAACGTGCAGGCCTGCAAATGTTAGTGACTGTCTCCTTGGTGATAGTTTTCCTAAGTTGTTAAAGTGACATTAATCTTACTGCTTTCCAACTGCCATTGACAGTTCTGTTCCTCTCCAAATCACATGTAGCTAATGATGATGTTGCTGGTATGGCTTAGTCATGGCACTCCTAACCATTGCAAGCAATTTCTGAACACTGCGCTAACCAGACTCATCTTCCGGGGACAACCATCGCGTAATGTTGTAAATATTCTGCTGCTATTTGAGCTCACAGCCGCGAAAAGTCAGTGGAAATTGATGTTAGGGTACTTCTGGGGCTTTACAAAACTGTTCCGGGGAGGGAATCAGTGGTAGCATCTTGTTTAAACATACTGACAAAGAAGGTGGGGAAGAGAGGCTGCGGAAAGCAGAGCTTGGAATAGACTATGGGCATCTCTTTCCAGAGAAAAATCAAATGTACCATCTTTCACTGAAAAACACTTTTTACTTTCTCAAGTGACAAACAGAACTCTTCTATCATTTGGTTCTTGGTTTTAGTTCTCCAGGTTATACAGTTTAAACATATACATACTTTACAGGTGGTTTCGGCATTCCTGGTTTTTTCCTGGTGTTGAATCCTTCAGTGCTTAATCCATAAAAAGCAAACAAACATGTTAGCAGTGTCCATTTGTTACCAGCCACTTTGCTTACCCCACTCTGCAGTGTGTATCAAGTTGAGAATTTTTCAATGGGTTTGATAAATTCTTTGCCCCATTTGAGTATTTCATTTTAGCAGTGACAACAACGTCTAGCAAGCAAAAAAAAAAGGGGGGGGGAGTACAGCTCAGAAACCTGTGTTGAGACCTCTGACATTTACTTTG